TTCAGATGCTGTGAATTTCTGAAACAAATAATTTCATGTTACTTATAATGTTATTTACCTTTCTCCACTGGGATTCCTCTCAGCTTGTTGTAATAAGGTCAGACTGAGGATTAAATTGTTATGACCAATATCTCTGCAGTGTATACAGAAGGGTTTGGCTGATCATGCATCTTGTCATTCTGATATTTAACATTTCCAAGCCAAAATATTTTAATACGTTTTCAAGGTTTTCCCAAGCATTTTATTTTTGCCAGTTCTCAGCAGAGCACAAGGTCAGATTCAAAGAACAGGGAACCCTCAAGGCTTTTTATTCCTTCACTTCCCTTCATGAGTCTAACCAGAATGCCATCATGCTTTCACTTATATTGTTTTCTTAAATGATGTCATGTTTAGCCTAATGAGGACTCAACAGACCTTAGTAAGTTGCAGTCTTAATGTAAGTGGTTAGTTGTATTGCTGCTACATAATGAGTTTTCTGGTCAGTGTTTTTCTACACCTCGGAGATGAGACCTATAGGAATACAGAAACAAGGCTTCAAGTCTTTTGCAGTCTAGTCTTAAGTTTATTCCTGATGCTCTCAAATACTGCACCAGGTTGATATTTCACAGATACATGCCCACACACACAAACTAGTACTGTAGCTGTTTGAGATGCATTAACACTGCCAGTACCTTGGTTAGTTAGTCGCTCCAATTCAGACGCACTGTAGGAGGCGTGAGAAGTGTAATGTTCTGCAAATACACAAGGGTTCAGTGTGCTTCAAAATAACTAGACTGTAAGATGTGTCGTAAGACCACGTCTAACGGCATATGTGTTCACCTGTCCCAAAGGCAGGATGGAAAGCCTGCTGTGATGAATTCTCTGTCTTGAGTCTTGTAGTCTCGATGTGATGATTCGTACTGATGGCGTGCCTTTTAGGACAGCCTCTCCTCGAAGGCGTCCACAGCATTGCACTCTGTTACAGCACAGTGACTGGTGATGTGAAGAGTGAAAAAGAGAACTTGAAAGAGATGTTCTGATCCTGCTTTTTTCACTGGGCCAAAGACTTGGCATGATTGTCGGATTTTCTGTTTCAGAAAATTATAAATGTCTGCCCTACCCACTTCTGATGCCCCTTCTTTTTAAAATGGCATTTTGCCAGTGAGCCCATGCTCATGTAGCCAGCTGGAAGGTTGAGTAGCATTAATGAATCGGCGATTAGCATCAAATTCACAAATTGTTGGTTTGTGCTTGTCATTGTTAAACAGCTGTAGATGACCAGGAAACATTGAGGGTGTAATTGTCATGAAGCTAAATTGGATATATAAAGAAGGAAGCGTGGAAGTCTGTTGATAGCCAGGATGGCAGGGGGATTCTTGGCCAGGCTAGTCCGTCCGTACACTGCCCACCATTCCTTGCTCTCACACCTCTGGAGAAGAATGATAGTCAAACAAACAGTGGCTTGTTGATCATGTTGTTCACTGTGTGATCTGTTAGGCCTGTGAGGGAGACACTTCCATTCATTCCTGAGGATTAGTTTGTTCAAGAGTGGGTTTGGCCCCCGCCAACATTCAGTGCTCGGGTGTACTGCTTCATGATGGAACATGTTCCCGGTGTATACTGTAAAGATTACTGACTTCAGATGAAATGCATGAAACTATTAGATGTGGTCAAATTAAAGGTTACAGCTGCTCAAAGACCCTTCCCAGGTAATTATGGTGGCTCTTATGGTGCGGAGCTTTCTGGCATGGCTCTTGTATTTTAGTCCTGCTGCATTATGAGCAAAGGATGACATTGAGCAGTCCTCAGGAGTTACATCTCTGTGCTGTTGTGTAGTCCTTTCATTTCCAAACACTGCTCCTGTCGAGAACAAAATGCGTTATGGGATTTAAGTCATCACTGGGAGTAATTAGTAGTTTTTTCAGAACATGCTGGTCCCGCTCATGGATTATAAAACCTAATCCCATGCAAAAGCACTAAACACCAATGTGGAACCATCAGAGGTTTACATGGTGGAGGGACTTTGTGCTGGTGTCTCCTTTACATGCCCGGGGCTGCTTTCCCTCTCTGCTGCTCCCGTGATCTGTGACACTGCTCTTTCATTAGAGCCTTCACTACCGATGTTAGGGATTCTGGTCGGGTTCATGCTCATTATTTATCACATAAGTAGATGCCTGCTGTATGTACTTAGATTTGGTTTCACTAGAAATCATCATGCCTTAAATGTGTAAGCCATAATAATTCAATCACATGGTTTTAAACCAGACAGTCGACTGTGTACCAACTGTGTGCAGTGTATCGCTTTCAGATTTGAGTAAAGGTTCCTGTCACAGATTCAGGCCTGATGGCCAGTCAGTACGTTCAGTTTCCTGAATGGAAATGGTGAATTCTGAGAGAAGAACTAATATAGAACAAATGTGTAATTTGTTAAATGATGATAAAGTATCTGTTGACAGTAATTGAAAAGTGCTGCAAAGTAAAACAATATTCCAAAAGAGAATCTCGGCTTAGTAATTAAAGCAGCATTAGTCCTGATACTAACTTTAATGTCATATACTAAGTGCACCTTGAGTTGTTGGTTACTGTAGTCATTCCTCCTCTATGTGTCGTATAGTAATCCCCTCCTCATGTGACTCCACTGTAAAATCCAGTTCACGTTTTGTGCAGAAATCTGAAGTTTACTGCCAGAATGAAAACATCCGCTTGATTTGTCTAACTAGAACTGCTGAAGACTCATTTCAGCTTTGGTTTAACTGTAGGAGTCATTTACATGCAGAAGGTCGGTGGATTTTGTTTGCTATTTCTTACTGTTTAGAAGAACGGCCAGTATGAAGGGAGGAATGACTACAGCAATCACAAAGTCATTGGTATGGCATGTGAGAACTGAGGTAGGATAGACTTGAAAAAATCTAAACGTAACCCTAAAGTCAGATCAGACAAGTAACTGTAGGTTAACATTGTTATGGCTGTTTCCACCCAACAACCTGAGTGTGGAGCGACACCTGCCTCCAGATTGTATCTACTCTTTTAACCAGAGGGCCCACACTGACATGTTTGTCTTTATTTTTAACACTCTTGTGTGTGACTGCTCTCTTCCTTTTCTGGATTTAAAAATAACAGCTGAGGTAGCTATTCTTTTGTTGTTTTAAGTATACAGTTTCCTTCATGAGTGTTGGTCACCTGCTCGTATCCTTGCACAGTGGTTGCTCTCTGGTGGAATAGCTAATCTTGGAAGTATTAGATTTATGATACTAATGAGTTTTGAATACATTTTTTAGTGTCACACTTGAGTGTCAGTGCAGCGGCACTAGCAGCAGTAGCTGTGAAGGTGATGTTTCAGGTGGTGTTCTGTGAACTGGCGTTGCTTCTCTGTATATTGTATGTGATGTGACTGAACATTAAGCAGAACATCGCTAACGATGAACCGCAGATCCTGTTTAATTAATCCTTTTTGATATTTTAGTGTTGTGAAAATGGGGGCTGGGCACCCTAACTTATTCATTCCAGTTATATCGGTGGATCGTGGTGGGGACCTTGGTTTTGCCAGCGGGGCTTAGGGTGGGGATTTGTGAACAAGAGTTAGGAAAGACTTTTTTTTATGTCTTTCTCTTATTTATTGATGTCTTTGCAGATGTTCTCATCTGCCAGCGTGGCTCTTTGAGGTGGATTAAATGTTTACCGAGAGATCACTCTTTGCAACATTCACGTAATCGCCGGGCACTCTCTCTAACAAGAATGTTCTTTTAGGCACGGTACTATCTGCTCCTCCAAATAGCTTTTATCTGATGCCGTCTCCTGCAGGGGCATTTGTTAGGGCTGTTCTTCTAACCATCTTGAACACAAACTAGGTATAAAATGTTTAAGCAACATTTTTGTTCATAGGGTTTCACTACGATAGCATTTGTTAATGGCAACACTTCAAAATACTGTAAAAGTAACTTGATATATGGTTGGTGGTGTGTTAAACTTGAGCGTCTCCTGTAACATGTACGTGTAGCTTGAATGGCCTACGGTCATCTTTTCTAAATGAGCTGCTTTTTATAACCTTTCAGCAATAGCAAGGACAGGATGTCTTTTAAAATATTTCAGGAGTGCTTTACAATAATGTTGCAGCAGGTTTTCTGTGAATCAAAGTCATAAGTGCGCCACCACTCGGAGGGACTCGCTGTAGTGGAGACTATTTCCCGGTTTAGAGGATATTAAATCATTTTGGCTCAGTTTTGTGTTCACAAGTTGTCTCCCAAAGAGGACTGTGGTGCATCTGGTATCTAAAGGAGGAGGTAAAAAGTGCCACAGGTATTGGAAATCCCTGTTTAAATGGACCTGAATGGTTTCAGTACACACAAGATACTGTGCTGGACAGGGGAGACCAGACTTGTGCAGCTGTTTGTTTCAGAGAAGAGGATGAGAGAGCTGTACCAGAGTAGGTTTTGTTTGTTTTTTGTCTTTTCATATCTCTAGGTGAATTGCAATACATGTGTTTATAGTTTCTGAGGTGTCAGGGGTGTTCAGTTTGCAATAAATGGTATATTCTGCTGTGTACAGTTACATTTTTTTAATTACAAAAATTGTACTTGTTTCTATTTTTTGTGATGGTTTAAAAAAGAACAAAATTATTTTAAAGTGTAAAGGAAATCTTAGTATTTTTTTAGTTTGTTTGTCTTAAATATTGATGCAGGATTTATTCTTTAAATAAAGTCATCTGTGTTACCTGCCCTTGTTTTCAAGTTTTTTGTACAGTCTTCTCTGCATTATTTCAAGTGGATTGTTTGTCAGTTTAACAGAAGTTCCTTAAAAACGTTTCAAACATTTATGTTGAGGGTAAACTGCAAGTAAAATATTTTACTAAAGTGAGATTTAGAAAAAATGCAAAGGTCGGGCTTTTAGAGGAACCAAGTGATGGTGGAACTCTGTCAAAAGAGGAAGTGGTTACTTACATTTATGGCTCCACAGATCAGTGAACTGCAAACGAGAGACAGGAAACGTTCATGTGACATGAAGAGTCAAAATGGAGGATACAGTTCAGTTTTAATACTGTATTTTATTTGTTCATTAGAAGGTTCCCAAAATTGTGTGAAACGTTTGTGGAAGAAGTTACAGTGGATATATAATATATTACAAAAGCTGCTTTTCATAGTGATTCCATTTCGTCATTTTACAGAATCGTCATTTCACACAGCTCAGCCTGAAATAGCATTTTTATATAACATGAGCACTCACAATTACAGAAGTTGTCATGTCTGAAAACATTTTAGCTTAATTTTCTAGTGAAAGGAAACATTAACATCAAGTTCAAAATAGGATCGTGGTAAAAACAGTTTATTAAAATCACCAAGCTTTTCCAGTAACATTACATGCGCCTTTTCTAGACTTCTGCAAACATGATTTTGAAAAGACAGAACTGTACAATAATATCAACCCTAAAATATGCAGATAAAAGATTAGTTTGAGAAAATCGTGTCTATAACTTGTAGCCCAGTCCAGATCTGCTGATGTGGCAGAAGAGTGTCATGGCGAAACACATTCCCAAAACCTGTCAAGATAAAAAAGATTTCATTATGAAAACGCAACAAACCAACTTGTTGATGCTTGTCCCCAGAAAGCATGGTCAGATTCTCATTGCTCTCACGTGTAAAAATCAGTATTTCCTACCAGTAATTTCTGGCAGTTTATTCTAAATTACAAGTAGTAAACATCAAAACTCAGGCTTTAGAGTCTGTATGTGTTATTACTTTTCAAGGTCTGTTATTGTTATTTTTTCACTAAGCAAAGAGTTTTAGTTGGAAAACTTGTTAGCAATCAGTTTCCTGCAGCCACACAGAAACATCAGCATTTGTTTGGAGTGGTGTTTGTGTCCACAGCTCTGGTGGCTCTCCGCCAACTTCTTAGGGAAACTGTCTGCACCTTTAGCAGCTTAATACTCCTGGATGTTCACTAAATCGCTGATTTTGTCAGCTAGTCATGAAGGTTGTCTGCAGTTTGGTGCTGGGCAGGTGGCGTACTGTGGGTTGATCAGAGCTCTTCAGCTAAAGACAGCTGGCTGCTGCTGCTGGAAACAAGGTCAGAGTGGAGCTGGGGACTGGAAAACTAAAACAATTTGCTAAAAGAGGCTTAAAATCCACAAATTCCTGATTTGCTATTTCAAGATAATGAAAATATTAAGTATTATTCACAAAAGTGGGCCAATCACAATCAGCAGGCCAGGATTTCATCCACCAATTTATGTACAGTACAACTTCTACAGCACTTTTGCACGGAGAAGTTGTGTCCCTGAGCAACCCCTAGTTGTGTGACCTCTGACACATAACAATTGTAAGTCGCTTTGGTTAAATGACTAAATGTAATGGTAAATATAACTACCACCAGTTTACCTCGACAATGCAGAGGACAATGACAGAAATTCCGGTGGTTAGGAAATTCTCCTCAAAAAAGGTCTTCAACATTTCCAAACAGCCCTGCAAACAAAGAGCAGAAAGTTGAGATGAACTGCAGCCAGCATTAAAATGCAATAACAAGACATCTGTCTGTCCTCTACAGTACATCAAAACAAGCCTCAATCCAAGGGTACACTCTGTCTACCTTTTCGTTGTACTTGGGCATTTTGCCACAGGGGCCCGAGCAGCAGGATGAAGGCACGTCCTGTCCCCAGTCTGTGAAATTCTTCACCCCACAGCACTTAAACTGAAAAAAAATATTATGAAAGGGGAAGGTTTTATACCATGAGACTGAGATCACTATGCTTTGCTTTCATTGTGTCGCTGTATTACATGAGCTGTCAGCATGTCTCTGTCCTGGAAAGCTTACATTGTCCTGAAGCAGGTCCCAGTCACTCATCACTCTCGTTGAATTCTTTGCTTTTGCCTTTTCCAAACCGTTGTTGAGATCTTTTGTCATCAATTCACCAATCTAAACATTGAGGTGACATTGGCAGATAATGTGTAAGTGTTCCTTTATTAGCACAACAAACATTGGGAGTAGAGATGGGTGTGACCCTACCTTATCCTCATACACCAGTAGCAAGCATGCTAATGTGAGCTCTATCAGCATCAGGAAGAACAGCAGCAGGAAAAACTGTCAACAGAATAAATTTCAGTCACATTGCATTTTTATTCTTTACAGTTCCAGAAACACTCCAGTTTGTTGCATTTTGCATTATATGCTCGTAGATTTGTCCATCTTTCTTAATCAGTATTAATAATATTGTAACATGTCTCAGAATTATACTGGAAGTAGAATGAGGCAAGAGACCCCAGCCATCAGACAATTTTAACATGAATTTAGAAAACCTGAACCCACCTAATCAGCAAAAACAGGTGAACAATAAATTGATTACCTTTGAGCTAATTATGCTGAGATCAACATGTTAACAGACATGACAATGTTAACACGCTATGACACGAGTATGAACATATGTTTAAGGAGTGGTAAGGTGGGATCTGTAGGATAGAGGTTATCGCTCTTGCCTTTGTTATGGGAGACCTGGGATTCCTACTCACTGCATGTGTCATTGCTCTTTATACAACAGGTCTGGGGATTATGGGGATGTGAAAAAAATCAAGCATGCTTGTAAAACAGCTTTAAAGGGTCCGTTCACTCAAATTAAAGTATATAATTTCTGGTTATCTACTCATGCAAACATGTTTTGGTGTTAATGGCCCAGGTTTTGAGATATCTGTCTTCCAATACAAAAGAGATAAATAGAATTTAATTTGTGGGGCTCACAGCATCATAGCATAATTAATTTAAAAAACTGGAAAGAAACTGGATCCTCAACCAAACACACTGTCAGCAGTTGTAAATGGAAGTAGGCCTACTTTCTGGTAGGCAAGACATTTGAGGAAAGTCTTAGAATATAAACAGTTCTTGTTGTTGTGTAATCCTTTTTTATGATGTTGTGACACCAGGTGGTGTAGCCTATGACGTTGGCAGCAGCTGGAGCACCCAGGGGTGCTGTGTGTGCCATAGAGGTAAACCGGGGTGAAAGTAACACGGGACGAAAGTAACAAGGCGATTTTCTCAGAGCCCTGACTGCATTTGCAGTCCAAGCTGTGACAGCACCTTCAGCACGCAACCTTTGATGGAGCTGCCAAATGTCGCATGACGTTGTTCCCGCGGCCGTCTTCAGAAAACTGTTTTCGAGCACGGCAAGTAAATTTCTGAAGCGGGACTGTTTTTCGAATTACAAGAACTGTCTCTCGTTTCATGTGTCACAGTAAGGATTAATCTACAGGTTATGTAGTGCTTTAACACACCCTGAAGTTTGCCCTGTCACAGTTTTTAAGTATAAAAATAAATGTGTTTATTAATCGTAACAAGTGTTACTTTCGTCCCTCTACAGTGACCACAAGTACTTTCGTCCCGCTGCTAATGTGGTGACTTTTCTGTGTGTTACAGCATTTATTAGAACATGTTTATGCCATATTATACCAACCGAATAGGCCAATAGCGTGGGTCAGATAGACAGAGGTCTGATTCAGCCAGATGTTTATGAGAAGGCGTTTCTGGACGTCTCTATTAGAAACATTAGTCTCAGGTCAGCTGATAAAGTCGCTTTGTTCAGATAATGTAGGAGGAGGGCAGAGATAATTGGGGAGACGACCAGACCACAGGTACAGATCACATTATTAAGTCTTCTCCTTGGAGAGGAAGCTCCATGCTTATATTAAGAGAGCGGCTGCTATTTATTTTGGCCTGTCTCCTCAGGAGCTCAGTGGAGCAGGTGTCAGTGAAAAGCACTCAAAATGCAGATCACTCATACTGTTCTTACTAAAACAATTTTAAATTCATTTCAAAATGTGAAATTGTATTGTATAGGCCTATTCTGTAAATAGCTTTTTAATTTTTATCTTAATTTTATTGTTTATCTTTCTAAATTGGTTCATTTTTCATTCAAGAAACATGCTGCAACATGCAAATATTCCCAGTGCAGGATCAGTAAAGTCTCATTTTATTTTAATCATGTCAGGTTCATAAACAATCTCCATCTTAACATTTTCCCCCTGTTTTAGGTGCACACATTTGCATATGTATATTATATATTTATAATATATCCTTAATATAATATGACATATTCTAAACAATTAAAGTTTGGGCAGTCAGGTTACTTTTGGAACTGAATATTTAAAATATATATTTTTTTTTAAAGATAAAGGTCACAAGATGTTTGTTTATTTAATACAAGGGTAACACAAGAATCTAGCTTGTATTGCTGTGTTACTTTTGTCCCAGCTGACCGTGTCGAAAGTAACAATGTGCCACTTATGTTTAAAGTGAAATTATACGGAAGTCGTTCTACATTTGTACAAAATACCACCTGATATTTATAGACCACACCTGTGAGTTAGTGACCACAGCAAAAATATATCTCTGTCTGAAACCTAATCTTTTAAAATCAGGTTTCTCTGAAAAATGGTATTTTTGCCCCTGCTCTTACCGTCAGGAGGAGACAGCGGTTCTCCTTCAGAGCTCCCAGGAAGCCCAGGAAGGACACACAGGTGATGACGATGCCGCTGATCAGGAGCATGTTGGATAAGTTGAAGTTGGCCAGGGCAGGGGTGAGTGCGGCTAGCCTGAAGTTCACCATCATGTACACACCGAAGCCCAGCACCGCCACGCCGCACATCTGACAGGAGAACACAGTCGGTCAGGTTCATGCTACACACTCCCACACCTGAGTTACCTGATTACATCATAACATCAACAGTTTTTCCACTAGTGTAATGCACTATATTTACTCAAGAAACTCTGCATCACTACATTTCAGTATTGTAGTTTTTATTACATTACATTGATTTAACAGCTGTAGTTGCTAATTACTGTGCAGATTAAGTTATCCTATACAAAACCTATAATGACTTATAACACAGTGCATTGCTGTGGGTTAATCTACCTGACAGTTTATATATATATATATATATTAAAATTAAATCCAACTCAACCAGCTGCAACATACAATGCTTCTTACACATAAATGCATCAAAATAATAATCAAATTAGATAAAATGTAGATAATTACACTGACAGGAGCATATTTTCTTCACGATAAGCACTTATATTTATTTTCTTATATACTTATTTATTTTAGCTTAAGTGACTTCCCTATATTTAAATTGCATTGCATGTTTTCTTATTGTGCAAATAAAACTGTCTCAAAACATTTCTTACCTTTTTTGGTGCAAGCTATTTTCAGAACATTTTTAACAAATGCTTTCAAAAAGTCGCGAGGACAAAATCAGCTATTTGAAAAAGTGGTGGAGACATGTCTCCAGTGTCCCTCAGTGTAAATGACACCTATGCCTATGTTTTACTGATAATACTTTTACTTAGGAAAGGATCGGAATACTTAATCCACCAATGACTTTTCTTTTTTCAGTAGGTTCAGTCATGTTTGAATTTGTACGACCACCACTTTAAGTGTCAGCATCTGGACATTTGAACTGTTCATCTAGCACCTTTAGCAATTTACTATTTTTGTGCTAACTAGTTTTCACGCATTCTCAACAAAGGCAGGTGGTGTTCAGTGTTACTAATGTATAGATATTTATCATATCATAAGTTCTATGTTCCTAGCTGAGCTATACCTCAGTTGTTCCGCATACCTCCTAACAATAGAAGAAGGCTCCCTGGTTAATAGATACAACATGTACGATAATGACCTCTGAATGTGATGCTGGATGATTGAGACATACATACAAAACAAAGGAAGTTGGCAGCACACATGGTGTACTTTAAACACTTGAGGCAGTTCTGAGCCATTCTGGAACACCTCTGTCAGACCTGTAACAAGAAACAAACCAAAACCATCTCATCATATTTCATCTCACATGAACAGAACAGTAAGTGAATCTAGTCTGTACTGAAAAGAAGATAATTATTTAGGCTTTTTGTTTCTGTGTGTCTGTGGTGGTTGTGGGGGGGTGTCAAAACTGACAGAACGTCTTGGTCACACTGTGGGGGAAGAGATGCTGACACATCTCACTTCCTGTTTCTCATTGGTTTACAAGCAGTGTGTTTCAAATTCATTTTATGTTTATTAAACGTGCCATTATGGCTGTTGCTGATGACATCAGCATGGGTATAGCTGGACTTGCTAATGACATCACAGGGGTTTGGTCTACTGTGGAAATACCACAAGTTTCCCAAAATATAAAACAGATACTTCTGGGTAAAATTCCTCTTGTAACCCACCAAAGTAAATATGTTTAAGATATTAATTTAATCAAAAGTATCAACGTGTTGATCCATTTGTAATTTCTTTGCTGTAATAATTAATGAAGACGGATGTCAGAACTATATGTTTTTGCTGATATTTGATCTATTTTTAGGTGAACATTTCTAAACTCCAGATTTTATTTTTCAATCAAGTGTATATTTATTCAAAGTTGATACTTCGACTTAGATGACTGGCCGTGTTGGATTATTTTCAAAGTTTTTCTTTAATGGGTTGTGTTTTTTTTAGAAGTCAGCTATTCTCTAGAGCGACAACACATTTCTATATGATAAAGAGGAAGGTGACACAACACACATTTTAAAGATATTATTCAGATACAAATGAAGATGAGAAATAAAGTTTAGGTCTTACCTCTCTGGGAGAATTATCGGTTTGTCTCTGTTCAGACTTGTGTTTAGTGAACTTTGCTGTTGCTTGCACTTCCTCTTCTCATAGTGCTGTGGACCGTGCAGCACTTCTTGGGGCTTTCGGCACCTCCTTCTCACTTCCTCTTTCTTAACTTTAGTAACATGGAAAACAGTGACTACTGAATTGTCTCAAGCAACAAAAAAAGGTAAAAATAACCACTGTTGTCTGTCAGCATCCAGTCAATGTAGTTAGTACACAAGCGGTTAACAGCCAGCTGCAAATTAGAGAGAGAACAACATAAACCAAAAGGCGGGATTGAAGAATGTCTTCTGCGACAGAGTATTAGCACCACTGTTGGAAAAACAATAACAGTAGGGGAGACTGGGGACGGTTGTAACATATTTGACATTTCTATCTCTATCTTGGAGCTCTTTTAAGCCAGTGTGTTCAAAATGTGATGCAAACTAGTTACACGTGTCTGCTGTTAAATGGTGTAACTTTTATCTCTGTAACAGAGATATTAGTTGTAACATAATCTGGGGTGAAATGTAACATTATGGAATTTGGAATATGAGAAATTTACCACATAAAATCATATAGTCTCTCTGTCTAGTCTAATTAATGTTTCATGGCTGTACTTTTACATTGTAATTACTGTTTTATCGTTGATAACACTTAAATAACTTTCACTGTCAGTCATAGTGGTGACATAATGGTGAACATAATAATAAGATTTTACAAAATGCAATTTGCACCAACTCTTAATATTAGTGTGTGTGTTTGTGCTTGTTTGTCTTGCACTGTCGCAGTGGTGACTGACATATGTCTCTCCTGGAGTGCAGGCCTCAAGGCTTAGTCTTACACAAACATTTCAACATAATAATAAAACAAGTAAACATTACTGTGTGTGTCAGACATACACTCACCTAAAGGATTATTAGGAACACCTGTTCAATTTCTCATTAATGCAATTATCTAATCAACCAATCACATGGCAGTTGCTTCAATGCATTTAGGGGTGTGGTCCTGGTCAAGACAATCTCCTGAACTCCAAACTGAATGTCAGAATGGGAAAGAAAGGTGATTTAAGCAATTTTGAGTGTGGCATGGCTGTTGGTGCCAGACGAGCCGGTCTGAGTATTTTACAATCTGCTCAGTTACTGGGATTTTCACGCACAACTATTTCTAGGGTTTACAAAGAATGGTGTGAAAAGGGAAAAACATCCAGTATGCGGCAGTCCTGTGGGCGAAAATGCCTTGTTGATGCTAGAGGTCAGAGGAGAATGGGCCGACTGATTCAAGCTGATAGAAGAGCAACTTTGACTGAAATAACCACTCGTTACAACAGAGGTATGCAGCAAAGCATTTGTGAAGCCACAACACGCACAGCCTTGAGGCGGATGGGCTACAACAGCAGAAGACCCCACCGGGTACCACTCATCTCCACTACAAAAGGAAAAAGAGGCTACAATTTGCAAGAGCTCACCAAAATTGGACAGTTGAAGACTGGAAAAATGTTGCCTGGTCTGATGAGTCTCGATTTCTGTTGAGACATTCAGATGGTAGAGTCAGAATTTGGCGTAAACAGAATGAGAACATGGATCCATCATGCCTTGTTACCACTGTGCAGGCTGGTGGTGGTGGTGTAATGGTGTGGGGGATGTTTTCTTGGCACACTTTAGGCCCCTTAGTGCCAATTGGGCATGGTTTAAATGCCACGGCCTACCTGAGCATTGTTTCTGACCATGTCCATCCCTTTATGGCCACCATGTACCCATCCTCTGATGGCTACTTCCAGCAGGATAATGCACCATGTCACAAAGCTCCAATCATTTCAAATTGGTTTCTTGAACATGACAATGAGTTCACTGTACTAAAATGGCCCAACCCAATAGAGCATCTTTGGAATGTGGTGGAACGGGAGCTTCGTGCCCTGGATGTGCATCCCACAAATCTCCATCAACTGCAAGATGCTATCCTATCAATATGGGCCAACATTTCTAAAGAATGCTTTCAGCACCTTGTTGAATCAATGCCACGTAGAATTAAGGCAGTTCTGAAGGTGAAAGGGGGTCAAACACAGTATTAGTATGGTGTTCCTAATAATCCTTTCGGTGAGTGTATACTGAAACTCAAAGAAATAATATAAATTTAACTCAACATTACACAGCTAAAACAGTAGCACTACCAACTTGCATGAAAGATATCTACATATTCACACAAATGTGATATGAAGTTTGATGAGTCTAACTGCAAAGCAGGTCGGGCTATAACTACAATTAATAAAGGAAAAAAGCTTTCTTACCTCAGAATAAAAAATTGGCTGTGCTGCCACAAGGTGCTACTTTTTCCCATGTTGAATAATGTTTAAACTGAGCATGTGCAGAGTGAATCAGGTGATTCATAACTTGTTTCTGAATAGAGAAATTGGACATGTTACAACTGACCCGTGTTACAACCATCTCCCCTAATCTGATATTTAGAGACTTGGGTCATAATATTATGAAAAAAAGTTGCAGGCTAATATTTGGATAATAAAGTCATAATAGAATAAGTTGTAATATGTGCATGTGTTAGAATTTCTTGGCAGTCTCCAGTTACTAGACTTATTTCTTTCTTCTGACCGGTAGCTCTGCTGTCTCTGCGTCCCCCTCGCATAGAGACACTTTAGCTCTGTTTGGGACTGTCTCACTGCTCCAGCATGCTTCCCAATGAAGCTGCATTTCTTCCGACAACTATCGGAGGTGGTGAAGTTAACATTTGCGTGGATTCGTGGTGGTTTCCACCTCCTTGTCTCATCCGGTACTGTCCCAAACAGGGGTCTATGTCTGTCAGACGGTTTGAAGGGGATACTACCACATCACCATGTGTTGACTGTGCAGGGATGATATTAAATAAGAAAAGTTGATGGTAAATACATAGCTGAAAGCAATGTAGACTGCCTGAAAGCCTTACTGTATTATTATTAGTACTACTATTCTGAATTGTCCCCTGCAGCCTGAATTTTGTGTTTCTCTTAATATAAATAAAGACATTTCAACCATAAAATGTGGCAGAAAAGGCAGAAACTGGTACTGGTTGTTTAAGACAACCACAACCAGAACTTCTGATTAATATGTGTCCCCTCAAATGTACCTATGAGTGAGAAAGTGCAACCAAAACCAAAATAACAGCAGAAAACAAAAGACAAAAGATATGTGGTATAAATATTTTTAGGCAAGAGTCAGAAACAAAGCCAACAGTCAAACTGCGGTCAAGAGCTGTGAGCTTGAAAACATGATGAATAATTTCACAGCATATGAGCGGACAGTGAATACATGTATGTCAGAGAAAGAAAATGTTACCACTCACTGCATGTATTCCTTTACATTATGTGGCATATGTGGATCAAGAACAGCGGAAAAAGAAAAGCTGTGGTTCTATCTTCTGTCTTAGAGATTAAAGAGGAGGCACTATCACCAAACTGAAGCATGGTAAAAAACACTGAAGCGCACCCCCGGGGACTGAACATTAAGTTTCAGTTTGAAATGTGAACCACACCCTGTTGGTGGAGCACAGGGCAGACTGACGTGCCTGTGAAAATCAGACGCTAAAATACAGTGCAAGTGCAGCAGCCTTTGGGTTAGATTTTCACAGACTATATACAGAGTGAGGAAAGCTAGAGAATTCTACTTACTCACAAAAAAGACACCAAATTCCTCCATTATTCTCAAAGGTTGATAAACAAATTATTCCATACAGCTATTTTGACTGAATTTGGGAAATAAATGCGTAATTACATCATTTTAAATATCAGGCTTAATATTCTGAAACACCAGAGTTCTAAATTGACTCGATGAAGTCAGCCTCAAATATTTCTGCCAAGTGGTCTAGTGAACTTCCAAATCAATCATTGATGCTGACCTAGATCTGAATTCACAGATCAGCAGCATCACCACAGTAGCTTTTCGACATCACAAGAATAGCTCACACATTTGTTGCTTTCCTCAGTCACATCCAGAAACACACTACCAGGTTTCTGTACTGTCGTTTTTGTTGGTTTTCCTGTAAAAGCCATTCAGCAGCTTCACCTAATTCAAAATGTAGCTGTATGTATCCTGACTAGGACCAAAGACTTAAATTACATTGCACTGATCCTCAAATATCTCCACTGGCCACCTGTTCATTAAAGAACTAATCCTTTTGCTTCTGGTCTAAAGCATTTAATGCTCTGGCCTCAGTATATTCCTTACATGCTTCCAGTTTATCAACCTGGCAGATCTCTCAGCTGTTTTCTCCAAATCTGCCTATAGAGCATTCAGTGCTTATGTACTACAAATATGGTACACCCTGCCAGCTTATAAGAATGGTTCTCTTTGTGCATGTTGTCTTCCTGTATCGATATTATAATGTATTTACACCTACTAGTTAACGATCTTTAGGATTTGGCTTGATTTTTAAAATCAGATTGTCCACTATAACCCACTTATATTTATAGTGTAGATCCTGTATCTTCTATCTTGGGATTGTTACCTCATGACCCCAGTTTAGAACAAAAAGGGAAATGAGAATCAAGCATGTTAATACACACCCACAGAGGGGCTGGGGAACTTTCTCATTTGTTCAGCTATGGACATACTGTACATTTCGGGGTTAATAAATATACTTGATTTGTCGTGTTTCACTTGTAACTTTTTAATGAATGAAGACAACACACAGCAAAAAACTATTAAATGACTGGGGGGGGGGGGTAACTATCAGATAGATTGCTGAGAAATTTGCTATAGATATTCAATGTTGCGTTTGCTGCAATCTATAGTACTTGAATCTCAGGGGAAAAACAACCTCCTACACGGAAAACAGCAACGCAACTGTTATTCAAGTCGGAATTTCAAGATGGAAACTCAGGCAGCCAGAGTTCGCCGACATAAACACACCTGTGGGTATCCATGTTTCCCGAGCAGAAGCACTGGGAGCAGGTCAGGGATTTCATGCTGCGTGCCCCCTTAGTTTGGCCTTATGTCGCTCAAAATTTACACTCACTAGCCACTTTTATTAGGTACAACTTGCTAGTGCCGGGTTGGACCCCCCTTTGCCTTCAGAACTGCCTTAATTCTTCATGGCATACTTTCAACAAGGTGTTGGAAACATTCCTCAGGAACTTACATTGACATGATGGCATCACGCAGTTGAGCAGATTTGTCGGTTGAATGTTTTTTTTGTTGGTTTTTTGAAAATGAAACCATGTAAACCTGTTGTGGTACAACCCCTCAATAAAATGATGAACCTGAAAATGAGAATATTATGACCACAATGTTGGTGCGTGTTCGCATAAAAGGGTGCATGTTCAGCCGCACAGGCAGAGTCTTTTCACAAAGGCTCCTGCTCTGTATTTTTCCCAAGAGGAATGCACACTGATAATGTCAGGATATGAGGAATTTAAAGACACGTTAAATCTAATGCTGTGGTGGTGTTCTTGTTGTAATTCTCTATTTTGCATTTTATGGACTCTTCTGTTATGTGTAATATGATTTAGATGTGAAGGTACAACTGCACTTGAGAAGAAAACACCAGAGTGATTCGGATTTTTTGTGACTTTAATCTCAGGGTATTTCCAAGTTATGTTCTTGTAAATTTAATACTTTCATATAATTTTTACTCGGATTATTAACCCCATATTTTTTGGACAGGTAAAGAAGTCATTCTTAAAGGGTCTCTGATCTGTCAATAGATCCTCCTAATATTTAGGAGGGACTAATGCAATATGAATGAAATGCAATATAATGTTTTTTAACATAACTATGTTTTCAGTGGTGTATAAAGACCTTACATAATGAACCGTTATGTTTTTATTACCTTAAAATTAGCCATTTTTATTTTACAACCCGGGTTCCCTTACATGGAAGTCAGCATGTTGTGCCGTCATGTTTCTACAGTAGCCCAAACAGACAAACTGCTCTACTGAGCGCACTTCGTCAGTATGTTGAAGACGTATGAAGAAGAAGTAGTAGTAATTGTCGTCTTCTGGTTTATTAAGTAAGAAGAGAAGTGAAATTTGGACAAATGGATTTAGTACGAGAGCCAACAGAGCGTGTTGCCCACCTTAGCTTCTCCTGCCCGCTTGGAGAGGGGGGGATGAGCGGTGACTTAGCCATTGGTTGCAATTCACAACACTCACCACTAGATGTCACTACACACTGAACCTTTAATATGTGAAAACATTCAATAATTCAATTATACAGATGAGCCACATCTCAGAAATTGGTCCCTTAATGAATTAAGAGATGCTCTCTAAATCATTGAGGCGGCAGGGCTCACTGTATAAATGTAATGCTGTTGTGCTAAGAACAACTTCATATCAGCAGCAACCACAGTGGAACAAGTCCAAATGAAATCTAAAAATATTCAATCAAGTGGTATGTATTAATAGTTCTCATTAACATACGTACAGATGTGGTGTGTAGCCCATGTATAAAGGGTCACCTCAAATTAACCACGAAGATAACCTGCTCGGAGCAGTTTAGAGATGCAGTGTAAATTGCCATGACAGCAGACCTTGGGTAAAACCTATCCACCTTTCGTAGTATGGGTTAACCAGGAAGATCAAGTTACACCCAAGTCACAAAGTTACTGAGGTCAAGGTAAGAGTTATAATAAACACAAAGAGGCCACAAGATGGTGCTGTTCTCCAGGTGATGGAAAGGCTTTGTGGTTTACTCTGCCAGATTCACCACTTCAGCAAATTCAACCAACATACTCTGAGGTGTGGTCTGGCTTTTGAGAATCACTTCACTTTCCTCTTAAAACCCTCTGAGCAGAGGATGTTTACTGCCAGGCTAACATGACAAGATATCCAGTTTAGTATTGTAACTGTTCTCTGTTGGTAGTTTTCTCCTGTCCTTCGGGCCTGTGGGTAAAAAGCGGCAACAAGTTCTTCAATAATCCTCTTTAATCAACACCAAGATGCGTGACAGTACACACACACACACACACACACACCTCTGTCTCCCCCTGGAAACATGCAGGTGGGAACCAAAATTCTCTACTCTGAATTAACAAATGATAAGGAAACAATTACTGTGTGTACTGATAAACTTAATTCTACAAGTCCAAATAATATTATATTACTCCTACTGTAACATCAATCTTTCCACCTTATACTGCAGTTTCATAAGCAACATAAATCATCAGAAATTAAGTAACCCAAATCTATAATGTCTACAATAACTAAGGTTACAGTATATTGATGGTAACAGGACCTGCTACAGTCTCTTTACTGCTTTGTGGATTTGTTTGGGGTTAGCACATCACGTACTTTTTATTTCAAATTTCATCAGTCATCATCATCAATTTATGCATTTGGCCTTTTTATCTTCTTAATCAGACACAAGTCAGTCAGACAACCTGAGGGCAAAGCAAGATGTTTACCTCCTTCCTTTGTATTAAACAAGACTACGAATCTATAGCCATGCTGGCTAGAGGGGCTCTATAAAAAGGCACAGACAAAATTAGGATTCATCCTCTGGGCACAATGATGTCTACACCACATTTCATGGAAATCCAAGTAATAGTTGTTGAGACAGTAGAAAGCAAATATGTCAACCTCATGATGGCGCTAGGGGAATAGTCAGGGACATAGACTGTAGGGGATTCCCAAAGTTTGTAGGATTAATCCTCTGGAAAACAAATCTCTATACAAAACTTCATGGCAATTCATCTAAACCTGGAAAGTAGTGGACCAACCGACAGACACTGCCATTGTTGCTATTTCTGCTTTATTTAATATAGACAACAGAGAAAGATTGGATGGTATGCAGCAAAATGAGGGGCTAAGTTCGAGGACTAGATACATGATACGTGCTCTACCAGGTCAGCTACCTGGGCGCCACAGCCACAGCAACTTGTAGAAACTTTATTTGTGCTGTTTCTCTTCCATCCCACTTTGTAATGCATGATAATTATGTATCACATGTAATCTGTAAAAGTTGCAAAAACACTGATCACCTTGTCAAGGCACATCCCTCTGATCTAAGATGTTCAGCAGTTCAACCTTCAACACCGTAACTGTCAGTCAGAAACTATTTATTTTAACATGGCAACAAATAGTTTCATCTCAGTTTTAGATTCCACAGAAGAACTAATCTTATGGACGTTTCCATTCAGTTTTTACACACTTTTGGCTTTAACAACAGCACAGCTTAAAGAAAAACATTTCTATCAAACAGTACTTGTTACTATTACCCACTCGTTTGTTCACTAAATATTAATAATGTCATATTCTACATCATTCTACATTATTCTGTTCAACCTTTTGACAGGTAAAAAGTCACAACAAACTGAAAATAAGGATTTACATAAAATAACATAAAATACTGTAACAATAGTAACTACTCCATATGAACACAAAATCATTAACATTAGCATCATCCAATACTAAAAACATGTTATTTAGATAATTATGGAAGCAAATTTACTCACTAGTTCATACCAGAGGCGCTCTGTAACTATGGCGAGTTAAAAGGACAAATGGCAGCTATAAAAAGTGTGATGCTACATTAACTGGCAAGTACTAGTTTTAGTATAGTAGCCGTCCAGTGTTAGGTATTTCTGGGTCTAAATCATGATCGCACTTTCAATAGTGGTCATGCTCTAAGACTCTTTTTTTTAAACATAGAGCTTGAACATAAAAAAGGTCCAGGCACAAGGCGTACATTCACTAATCACCAAAGGTAAGTCATCCCTTCAAGTTGTTCATTTGTCTGTTATCTGGTACTGGCCACATAAAGATGCATGAATAACTGAGTGGTAGATTCAGTAATATCAGGTGAGTCCCAGTACTCGGTCCTCTGTCATCTAATTAACTAACTTTTATCGAAGTTCAATAACTATTCCTGATATAAAAAGGGACATTAAAGGAGTCAGTGGGGGTGTATCAGTGCACCTATATTTTACAGTTCATTCCGGCACAGAGTGAAGTAGAATATGAACCTGAAATGTGTGGTGATAATATTGCTCTCAGCCAGTGACATTACTTATGACAAAAACTAAATGGGGACTTGTAGTACAAAAATATTGCATGCATGATGTGGTTTGTGATTAATGCAATAACTGTTACGTGCAGTCTGACTTTACTGAAGGCCACGAAAAAATTAGTACGTAAAAACATAAATTTTTCTGGTTGCTTTATTTCCCTACTTAAAATAGATCTCTGTCACAGCAGACATTTTGACATCATAATGTGAAAAGCCCAAATAAACTGAACAACATTAATAATGTGGGCATCCCAAAAGTTCTGCTAGTTTCAGGGTTCTGCTAGACCCACAGTTCATGTATTTGGTTACACCTGAGCTTTTCCTGTGGTTAAATGCTGTGTTACAATTTATACTGCATACCAATTGCATACAGTATGCATACTGTTACTCATTGTAAAACTCTTTGCAGTGAGTGTACAAAATCAAGAACTTTATGGCATTAAACTGGTGAGGAAATTACAGCCAATTAAATTGGCAGGAAAATATCCAAATATTGTGTCTTTGCACTGCCATGAAAAGAGAGACTCATATTTTTGTAAATAGTCAGGCTCCATGTAAGAAATACATTCATGATATACATCTGATGTGAGCTTATTATAGTCACTGTTCACATTGCATTACAGTATGTAGATATCCCTACTCTGAAAGGGGAGAAATCCCTTCATCACTGGACAGACATGTGGTTAACACTGTACTTGAAGTGCACTATAGGCACATAAAACATATCTTTACTGTTTTAACTAATATGTAAACATGATGAAATGCACTTAGTGCTTTAGGGTTCTGAGCTTATTATAATAGGAGTCAGCTATGACTAGATCTGCCCCCAAAAGTGGCACTGCATATAAATAATATTCTGCTGAAAGACAATAGTGCATTTTAGTTGTGCGTGGTGTGCTTGTATGAAGACACTGGTCTTTTCAAGAGTTTCAAGGCTCTAATTGTGGTACAATTTTATAAAAATGTCCCTGTTTTTCCTATGACAGAGCGAGAGACTGCCATATAATTCAATGAATCTGTCAAACATGCTATGAAATACACACTTTTGTATTCCCATACATTTGTTAAGTTATTTGCTATTCCCTGACTTTCCCCAGAGAACACAAAGAATTAATAGATTTTCCCTGTTTGGAGTACACAAGTCCAGATGTTTAGGAATTCCTTGACCAGTGGGAACCCTGGTTGTTACTGAACTGTTTAAACTATTAAAATTTACAGAGTGCGGGAAACAAAAAACAACCTCAGTTTGCTGGAAGGTTGGAGCCTAACAAGAAGTCACTGTATTCATCAACAGTTTTGTGTCCTGCTCAAGTGTCTTTAAGCAAGACACTGAGCATGAGTATCAGCTACATGTCTGAAATGCAAACTGTGAATTTCTTAAAGCACTGCATTAAAATGTGTGTGTTGTGGACCATGTTCAGCAGTCCTGACAGGCAGTGATGGCCCTGGTAGATTTCATGGTCTAGGACTTTGTGGGGCATTTTTCGGCCGGCGTCGCACTCGGACTTGAATGTCCTCATCCTGTGAAAAAGACAAAAAAGTGGTACTTTAGGATCACTGCATCTGTGGCGATGATTACATGGATTTAAAATGAGTAAATCAAGTTAGTTTTCTGCTTACTGTTTCAGCAGTGTCTGCCGTCTCCTCTCCCTCTGTGTATTCACTGCCGGCGGTGAATGCCTCGAAGTCAGAGAGAGCGCTTTCCACGACCTCCTCGTCATAGTCTGTCTGGTATTCATCAGACAGTACCTCTGAAGGCAGACAGAAGGAAAGAATTGTTTTAATTGTCAAATTATATTTGTTAAAGCAGGCTTTAATATTAAGATTTGTTATGTATATTTCACATTTTTGATGCAGTGGTTTGTGATTTCAATATTTTCCCCAATAACTAACCATCGATTAAGGCATTCTTGACAGGTTCGATTCTTGCCACTATCTCTGCCAGGTCAGTGAAGGAGGCATTCGGACAGGTGACCACCTGAAAGACACAGACCGCATCATTCCAGTGAGAACTTTAAATCAGCTTCAATTTCAGTTTATTCTCACTCTTTTTAATTATATATTTTGAATAGACATCAATAAAACAGTACCTTTAGCAAGGCTGCAGTAAAAGACAATTAGCATGTAAACAATTCAAGTTTGAAAACACTAATTCATTTTTGACATCCAGCAGACACAGAGCAACACAAGTTTTATTTGGAGCTGTTGCTGCAGTCACCTGATGAACATAAATTCAATATTACTTTTTATTTGAGCTCTGGTTGAGAAAAATGTTGTTTTTGTCTTTAGCTGCTAAATGGTTTCACTCTGTTTGCTCAGTTTCTTTGTGTGTATCAGAGCTTTTTTACTGCAAACTGACGAGAGTAGCTTATGAAGAGTTGAGAATCGGTCTGGGAGCCAATAAGAGCAGCTGGACAGTAAAACTACAGCAGCGTGGTAAAGGGAGCTAATGGCACCATAGAGCTCCAAAGTTGGGTGTTAAATTTAAGTTCTGTGACAGACCTTTTCACATTACCCATACTGATTCACTCCATTTTAAAGGTAGCACATTTAAAGGAGGTGTGTTTGTCTGCACAATGCTTTGTCATAAACAACAGAGCTTGTAACTGTGTCTTCTCCAATGTTCAGTTTATAATATCTAGCTAACTATTGTGACATTTCCACACATTCACAATTGTGTCAACACAAAATCCATAATCGTGTGAATTAAAGCAAACAAAAAAAACTGATTGTGGGTTAAAAATCTGATCAGATAACTAGTGTCTGTAGTTTACACTCACATGGCCAGTTTTGGTCTTGTGGAACTCCTCCTGATGTCTGTCCTTAAGCATGCTGTCCACCACGCCACTGCGCTTCCACACATCGAACAATGTCTTTCCGTGCTGGTATCCCACCTCCTACAGCCACAGTGAAGGAGAGTTAGGGTAACATTGGAAGCCAGGAAGAGACCTGGAGAATAGCATTAGGCAACAGAGGGGGAAACTCACAGCGATCTCGTCAAACTTGCCGAAGTCCAGCGTGCCGTAGTGGTTGATGGGCGGCCGAATGTACTCACAGTATTCACTGTCTTTGACCAGTTCCAGCTGCCGCACACAGCAGACATAAGCAAGTCGGGTTTGGATCTCTGCCATGTTCAGGACCTGGAAGGTAAAATGGGTTGAGTTTAACAGGGCTCTGAAGGCCATTACTGATATTCAGTTTCCCTAGATTTTACGATTCTCATATAGGATTATCTCTACCATTTCTCTAAAATAAGTTCAGCAGGTAAAGACTATGCCATTTTCCCACTTGACCTTACATTCCTGCATTATTTATGCTGAATAGCCACAAGAATAACTACAGAGGACGTCTGACATGTCTGACAAGTGTACCTTGACTTTCTCAGCCAGAGGGTTGAAGCGTTTCCACAGCAGCCACCAGCCGCTCAGGGAGTCACCGTAGTTGGTCAGGTTGGTTTCATCCTGACTTCCAACATCAATTGCAATCACAACCTTGGCCCCCATGGAGCGAGCCACATCGGCTGGATACCAAAATGAGAAAAACACATTTATTCTATGTCTTAAAAAACCCTGATGACCTATTTTCTTAAATAGTTTCACATGTTTAATGAAACTGTTTGTGGTAATTTCCCATGAGACATTTATATTGATCACACAGTCCTAATACTACAGATTAGTAGAGTTATTGACTCTTGATAAATATACTAAGGATTTTATTGTTCCAAACTTTAACTTTGATTGCTGCTTATTTAATCTTGAATATTAATAGTTAAAGAGGAAGACTTAAAATGTGAAACCAAGGTGCTTTAAAGGTAAACACTGATTTCACACATCAAAGCCAAACTGTCGGTGGGTAATGCAGGCGCCAGGTCCTTTTAGAGGTTTGATCTGACAATGTTATAGGATTGCAATGCTAAATCATTGGAACACCCTTTTAAGTGCATTTTATGACTAAATATTTAAGCCATATCTTCGAAAGCCATGCAGACTGAGACCTTAAGTCTTAACTCTTTCTAAATGTAACATGTTGGTAACCCTGTCTTTGTGGTTAACTGTGTTAACAATGATTTATTTTACCTACTGTGTTAAGTTATAGTTTCTGATGCAGTAGGTTGTGACCCTTATCTACACTAAGTAAAACTTTCTATTTTATCCTGCATTTACAATTGTACGGAAGGAAAGCAGTGTTTTGTACTGTATAGAAAGTATGACTAGCTGCTGGGGATTTTGAGTCAAAGTTTTTCCATCTTTTCAATCTTTTTCCAGTTGTTTCTCTAGGCAGTAAACATTTTGCGTACTGCTTTACACACCACTTTAATGTATTCCTTTAAACTTGTAAAATTCTTTGCTATTCCCGGACTTCAGTTCTCTAGAACAGATATGAATGATCCAGTATATAAGCATTGGTTTCATTTACACTGGGGACGCTGGGGACATGTCCCCACCACTTTTTGAAATGGCTGATTTTGTCCCCATCACTTTTTTTTTAAAAGCATAATTTGTTAAAAAAAGTTCTGAAATATAGCTTTCAGTTAAATACCAAATGCCTTTTGAAAGGTTCATTTGCACATTAAGAAAACATGTAATTAAAATATAGAAGAAACATATGTGCACTGTCCAAAAAAAGGATTATGAAATGATTATAGAATGACTCAAAAACGTGCGGCACCAGTCAGTAACTTTAACAACTTCTTGACACAGTTTCTTTTTGGCCAAGTTTTCCGTTCTCTCCCTCCATTATATTCTGTTATATTTATATATTTTGAAATATGACTTGCTTTTACATAAATAAAAACTTTAACCAGAATGCAGGAAATTAAGTGTTTGAAGATGAAAATTGACACCCAGACCCCCCATTCATATATCTCGCCATTGAGGATATCTTTAAAACACTGTTTAAGGATGTCTCACCCAATATCGCGTATTGTGATGTCTCGTGAGCCAAGTGTCTCTTCATACCCCTAATCTGAGCCCCTTTGTCCTCACCCCTTTTCAACACAAAGTGACGCCCTTGTATTTTTTCTACTTAATAAGCAGGTGTTCCTATATCTTGTTATGGAATATATAATTCCCACTCATATGAAGCACAAAGCAGTAGAAGCAGTAAAGTCCACTACCACCCTCTCAGTCTGTTTCTCACCAGGAAGGTTGTTGATGTACCCTCCGTCCATGAGTAAGTGTCCATCTTTGGGATCACAGAGAGGTGGCAGGTAACCAGACAGGGACATACTGGCCCGGACATACCGCCACAACGAACCTGGAATGGGGAGACGAGTGAATGGTTGACAGATAGAAAGAAACGACAGAGTAGGAGAAAGAGTATTACAACAGGAGGTTGTAAATATTCATGTTTGGCAATCTTCAAAAAAAAGTAGCTGGATATTTTTAAACTAAAAAAGAACAGACCGTAAGTGTGAACTCTCATGGAGGAAGCTGTGATGTCTGTTGTAATGTTAAAGTATGGCAGCCACAGGTCCTAGCAAAGGAGTTGGTAAAAGCAGAGCAATTTCAAATTTGTAATAAGTATTAGACAATTATTATTGAAAAACACAACCTCACAAGTGTAAACCAAGGAAATGTGCTAACATTGGATTATTCTCACAGAATACAAAGCTCCTGAAATTAAAATGAAGTGCTTCGTATTAAAGGTGAAATTATTTACTTCAGCCGATGTTGCACAATGTTTTTAAATACACTCTGATAATATGCACAGCAGAGCTGATAGATTAGAAGCTGCTCACACTTTCTTTTTTAAGTGACACCAATACAATAACAATCTTGTCTTAAATATGGCTAATAATTCCTTCTGCCTCACTGCTTAGCTCTTATTCTTTGCCTTTTCGTAGAACTTGTTTTACTGAAACCCCTCACCATACCTCTATCTGTTTGCCCTTGAAGACGGAGCTAACGCTGGAGTTAAAGGAAGCTCCAGAAAACATGGAGGTAACAGGGTAGGTCAGATCCAAGATCTTCTTAAAATAACAGTTCATATCCTGAGAAAGAAGGGAAGTTAAAAAGAGAGTTTTAAAAGCTTAGCTTGGATCTAGAAAATACAAAAGGAAGATTAGTGTCAAAAAGAGGAACAATTGGAACAGATGTCATAATAACAAGACCAAATCTTAAAAATATAAACATAAAAAAAAATATTAATAACAAAGCTCTTGACATTGACATTCATCCTTTTCAGATTAAGTGAATAAAAGGTTTTTGTACATGTGTTGTTTCCTATCTCAAGAATAATGTCAACACACCATGGCCCACTCACGAGCCCGGACCCTCATGTGACTGTTGCTCTTCTCCTCAGCATACAGCGCTCCCATTAAGGAGCCGATGGAGGTGCCGCCCACCATGTCGACCGGGATCCCCGCCTCATTCAGTGCCCGCAGGATGCCGACCTGAGAGCAGCCCCTGACAAGTGACAGTCCCCCATCAAATAACAGATCACATTATACACATTTAATTTTGTTCAAATACCCTAAGAAATATTCATTTTAAATGGGCTATATGTAATGTTGTGTAACGTTGCAGTGGGTGTTTAATGGAGTTTCCAGCATTTTGTGTGATGCTGTCTCCCTGTGTGTTGGATTCTGCTCCTTGCTCATGAGTTCAAGCAAGCTTACGAGCACACACCTGGTTTAATTTAAAAAACGTACCCCTAGTGACCGCTAAAAACTGCATATTGCCTCTTTAAAGCTAGGTTTGGAGAACTAGCAAGAGACAGCTAGATTTTGAGCAAAATTCCCACCCTGTCCCTTCAGGCCTCCCTCCAAAGCTACTTCCCATCTATTAAAATAATTTTATACAATGGAAGAGAAGTGGTTCACAGAGCCACTTGTGCACAGATAGGTGGAACTACACACACAATCCCACTGAAATAATGGCGGTTTGGAGGAACTCAGTGGGTGCAATAGCAGTTCATAGGAAACTGGCAAGTGAAAGCAGTAGATTTGCTGTAAGTCATGTCTAACAAGTGTCTCAGGTCATGGCTGAGAGGAACACTTCCCTACCTTGTCAGAGCTCCAGAGCAAGCCAGAGCAGTGAGGAAAAGAAATCAGAATAGAAACAATCAGAATACACCTGCTTATTGGAATATGCATATTTTGTTAATTAATTATCAGTAGTTTGCTGTTTTGTATAGATACTTTTACAATGCCAGCATAGGAATTAATAAAAATTTTTCTTATAATTTCACTTCTAACTGTAATTGAATTGCAGCTGTACTGATTGAGTCATGCACTTCGCAAAAAAGAAGAAAAAGAAACCTTGTACTGAGTTGCTGCAAACAACTTTTTTTAATTCCATAAGAAAATGATGATAATCAAACAGCAGCAGGTGGGGGAGATGCTGTGGTGACTTTGAATATTTTCTTAGGCTTTAAATGTTAGAAAAGAGATATTTCAGCCACAACAAGCCATGTAAAACGTTTTTGTTAGTCTGTATTGTTTTCAACACGTGGTGATATTTGCTGCATGGAGCCGTTGATTTAAATCAGTGTAAGCAGCATGTGTCGTTTCTATACTTTCTCAAACTTTTTAATGAAAAAAAATATATATACTAAATCAATAGTAGGAGTTATAATGATATAGTTTGTCTGTAAGCAGCACAACCTTGCAAAAATATGAATTACTACGTTGTTATCATGTATACTCTTGTCTTTTGTGAATGGCCAAAGCAGTGGTTAAAGGGATAGTAAGTGATTGTAAACCAGTACACGTTTTGTTAAATTCAGCTAATATTTCCACACAGTTTGCTAGCTCTCAGTTTTGTCTGTGTTTTGAGAGTTTTATACACAGGCTCATTCCAACCTATACAGTCTATGATTCAAACATGCTGGAGTCCAAGCACTGTAAAGGACAGATGGCTAAGGAACAGCTTAAGAGGAAAAGGTCTGAAGAGTATGAATCGAAAAGAAAGCTATATGACCAGGCAAGGGTGACAGCGTTTCAACGCTGGAGAAACAACAGAGATTTTAAATATGCGGGGTGGAGTTTCTGAGGGAGCACTGAAGGGAAGCATGTATTTGTTTGGCAGTTGAGTTCAAATATCAACACTCCTGCAGAATCATTAATCATGGCCATTCTAGTCAATGCTTGTGCTCACACGAGAAGCGCTGCAGTGCATCCTAGAAGCAGCTCTCAGCACCGCTGCGCGGAGAATAGGCACCCACTCTATTTTTGATGGAAGCCGCGTCAAGCAGCACAGAGCAGATGAACCGCGCAGGAAGTCAGATACAGAAAGGGAATTGAGAATCCGGCCAATTTCCAAAATAAAATAACTAAACTTGATTCAAACTATGATTGCTTAATGGTTTCCTTCTGTGGCCGTACTAACCGCAATTTTTCATATATATTGCAGATTCCCTCAGCTGAGAATCTATATCGCTGTCAGGAGAAGATTTAGTGAAGGGGCAGTGGGTTTGTTTTACAGCCAATTTTACTCTGAAATTGTGAACATGCAGGTTAGGTGTGCGGCATCTGTTACCATGATGATCTAGCCATGTTAAAAGAGAGCCAACTTCGTGACATATTATTTTTATTATTGAAGACTCTGTACTGAATGTGTTTGTATATAAAGCTGAAGTACCTGGCGCCCCCTCCACCCAGCACAAGGGCGATGCCATTTCCTGTCAGGATCCTGGCCAGACGGGAGAAGTCGGAATGACGATCTGGGCACTTTTCAAACACACGCTGGTACAACTCTAGCTGAAAACACACACACACAGAAATGAAGCATTTGCTAATCGGGCCAGAACTGCCCATAAAAGACTAGTAGGTTGGTGGTTAGTACCAGCTTAGGTAAACTCCTCTTGGAGAACACTCTGCGGGGGCAGGACAGGTGATGGTGTCTAGAGATCCAGCTCCTCATGTTCAGCCACTCGGCTGTCCCTTTGGGCGGCGGGCCGTCCTCCCTGTGCAGCAACACAAGCTGCTTCTGAGCACGGACTGCACTGCCCTCCAACATCCGCTCCAGCTACAGTTGGAGAAGAGGAAGGAGAAGCAGATAGCTTTCACTCAGAATGGCAGTTAATACATACTGTGATGGTGTGAGTGAATAGTCCTATTCTCTTATGACCGGTCTTTCTAAATGAGCTTTCTGCTAAAAAAAAAAAAAGCTACAGCAGCTTAACAGGTGTGAGTGTTTGTATTGTACTGTAATTTGTACTGACCTCACCCACAGTGGGTTCCTGCTCACCCAGTCCCACGATGATAATGCAGTCAGCCTGGCGGATGCAGCGCTGTGTCCAAGGAGTGAGCCTAGAGTCAGACTGGTAGAGGACAATGCGATGGATGTCTTCCTGCTGCCCGAGCCAACTGGACAGGCGATACTCATGGACACTTTAATAGTTGAGGTACAAATATCAGCCAGTTTACACCATATCACCTGATACTGTATGTATGAACCTGTTCACTGCATATTAAATGACAGAACAGATTACTTATACTATACATATTTACAGTTTAATCACTCAATCAAATGTCTACCTGTCTAGAGCAGCAGAGCCTAGTCGCTGTTTGATGATGTCACTTGTCAAGAGTTGCGTGGGGCCTTCAGAAAACAGAAAAACATCAAACATGTTTTAATAGGATCTATGACATTGCTGTGAAAAAAACAGCTGTTCCAGGACATGAGTCATACTGACCACGCTTTGAGTCAGGAATTGTTTAATGCCCTCGGGATAGTGCTATCTGATTTTTTTTTGTTTTATGTGACAGGTAGACTGAAACTGAATTGCAGTATGGGGAAACATAAAGTTGTTTGAATTGAATTGAACTGAATTAATCATGGTGCAGATTCTAGAGTAGATCCCTAAATGCAGACAGGTTTGTGTTCGCAAAGGAAATTTCCTGTTGACATGCAGTTCGTAGTATGCAAGATAGAAGAAGAAGAAGAAGAAGAAATGCAGATATTTACTTTTGTTTATAATCTTTATCTGTGCTTAATTTGTAATGTCTTACCGTTAGTAGCTTGATTATGCCTTGGACTTAGACGTTACACAGGCTCTTTAATAGATCTGGAGTCAATGCCCTTTCAAACAGTACTACACAATAATAATTTATGTAATCAAAGCAATTTTTATATGTTTGGCCTACAGCGAGAACAATGTGACAATGACAGGACAAGCATTTTATATGCAATATGCAGGACAGGGATGCTTGGCCATAAAAAACGGTAGTTTCTAAAGAAACTCACAGCGAAGCGCAGACCTGTGTGAGTTTTAGCACGTCCATCAAAATGAAACATGTCACACTACTCCCCCACACCATGCTTCATTCCCCCAAACATTTTTGGCTATCTTGCCTATATCAGGTGGTATTTTTCTGGTAAGATGTACCACCATGAGGGTATACTGAGGAGGAGTTGTGCAGGTTTATTTTGAAACAAAGAATGTATATAGAAAGGGAAAAACAGCAATTCTCTTGACTCATCTTGAACAACTAATACACATAACCAAGCTGATTGTGTTTCAATATTATGATTCTGACAAAAGATTGAGTAGCATCAACAAACATTCATTTTTCTAGCTATCGCTGATTAGCTGGTTTGATTTAGGTGTGCCAATTATTTTTGCCAATAAGTTATCATGTTCACTGTTAAGTTAAAGTTAAAGTTAGAGTTAGAGTTAGAGTTAGAGTTAGGTTTGAGGGCTCTTCATAGCCATGGTCCACCCATATCCACATCCCTAATGAGCCTCTATTGGTTTTGTTGCACCTGTTCGGGTAAGATAAGTTACAACTTTTAGTGACCCTCATATAATTGCAGCAAGATTCATAAGTTGAAAAATAATAAAAAATAATTTCATTTTAAGTAAGGTTATAATCAATACTTTTGTCCCTTAAAGGCGCATGTTCTCAATTACCCTTGCTGACTAGACCTCTAATCAGGTTGAAGTTGGGTGGAGCTATATTTAGAATTACTTGCTGTCACTGAAATCTGTGAACTAACAAAAATAAGTGTGCTCTGAAACTCTACCAGCATAGTGCTGTAACAACACGTGCCGCTTATATCTATTTATATCAACGTTCTATGCAGCAATTAAAAAAAAAAACTTTAAATACTGAATTTAATCCATTCTGCTCACTGGGATTGGGAGAAACATTTTGTTCTGTGAAAGTCCAAAATCAGCAGAAGTAAAAAAATGGCCGATGCCTTATATTTTCCTAAATATGCTCTGGCCGATACAAGATACGATGTTTGTGTTGTTAATGGTTTTCATGCTGAAACACATTCTGTGAATGAAGTGGTCTGTCTCTCTGTGAATCATGAGTACTGAGATAACCTGTAAAAGTGGAGTGAGCACTGTGTGTGTGTGTACCAATGCCGCTGAGTGCATGCTGCAGCTCCAGAGTGAAGGCAGTGAGGGGAACTTCCTCAGATACAGGCAGGATGGCCACAGTGGACAGGTTGGAGGCTGGATTCTCAGCATCCCACTTACTGGTGGGGGTGTGGAGACCCAGGCTACGTGCTGCAGAGGAGAGGAGTGTTTTTCTCAATGGATATTTTAGACAGAAAAGACCATTTTGCTCTTTTAATGCCCTATCTTGCATTTTTTTTGGCCACAGTGGCTGGTACATGTCATCACTCAGCCAGGTAATATTTCTAAAAGCTAACCTGATCTCCACATGATAACTGTTAATGTTCATATTATTGGTAGAGTACATTAATTCGGTGTCATTTTGACACACACTAACAAAGACAGTATACCATTACCAGCCAAAGGTCCATTGACCTGCTGCATGTTGCCCAGGATCTTCTGCCCCAACAGATGAATCAGCCGGGTGACAACCTGAGGATATTTCCTCTTGATGGAGTTCAAAGCTCCTTCAGGTAGCTTGGCCAGCTCGGAGTCCCTGACAGCGTGGACCGTGGTGGCTCGGTTCATGTGGGTCAGGGCCTCAACCTGGACAATGCACAATACAGGGGTCGTACTACAATGTGTGGTGCCTAAAAATGTGTATACCCCAAGCAGTGTGTCTTTAGTATCTTTTAAACTTCAGTTTTTCTTAATCAGTTCCTGACAACTTACCACACCAATTAGATCCCCACGGCCGTACTCTCCAGCCAGCTCCTTCTTCCCATCATCCTTTGCAATGACAGAGCGCAGTCGCCCACTGAGAACAATGAAGGTGCTATCTGACTTGTCTCCCTGTCTAAAACCAAACAAATGACAGAAACAACAAAATCCAATCGGCAGTCGTCTTATGTGCATGTGTTTTCGTTCAGACTTCACTTGGTTAAAAAAAAATTGGTAGACTATTGAGTTACGTTACAAGTCGCGGTGGATATTTTACAAAGGGACAAGGTAAAGCAGCAGTGAACACACAGGGTGCAGATGTTGGTTTCAGTTGTTTGATAGGCTGCGTCATTAATAAGCCGACATGCGGCTCACCTGCTGCCGTGATAACGGATCGCGGGTGGAAATATATGGAAAAAAAACTAGTTCTCAGTCTTTTAGGCGACTTTATAAAACATACTGCTGATGGAGAAAACGGAGCAGACGGGGGAGTGAGACACAGAGAGGCGGGGCAAGCCGGGGTGTTTGCCTGAGGTGTAGGTGTGTGTGTGAGTGTGTCCGAGTGTGGGGAGAAGAGAATTCCCAGGCAGGTGCAAAGCATACTTAAAACAATAATAGGAATGTTCGTGGTCATTAAAACCTGCTTTCACAGGATGGTATAATGTGAAAATTTGAGTGTTTGTTTTCCTGGGGGGGTTTTACTATCACGATGCTGGCTCGTCGTCGTGATGTCTGTCAGCCATCGCCCATGGACAATGTCATCGTTTATTGGCCAAACCCTAATTGACATGATAGACTTAATGTCCCATTTTGTGTTTTTCTGTATATCTTAAGTTGTTCTTGTGTCTCCAAAACACATCAAAGACATTTCGTTTCAGTAAGAATCCCATCGCTGGCTCCGTAGAGTAGATACCTGTAGACGGCACGGCCAGCCTCCACAGCCATCCAGTCCAGGGCAAAGTCAATCTGTCTGACAAATGGTGACACCCTCTTCACCACAGTGTGAGCTACGTTCAACACCACCCTGGGCTCCTCGCGCATGATCCTGTAAAGGTCAAAACACAGACTTGTTTCCTAGTTATTTGACGGGAAGAACCCACTTTTTAACCCCAAATGAATGACTCAATGTTTTGTGGGTGTGCTTGATCTTACTCATAGAAGTGAGCCTTGGATATTGAGAGGAAGGTGCAGTCTCTGTGAGCTCGGACAGTGAAGATAAGGGGCTCCCCTGTAAGAACAGCCAGGTGACCCACCATCTCCCCAGGGTGGGTGACAAACAGCAGGGTGTCCTCCTCACGGTCTATCATACGCTGGTAAACATGTAGCAACCCAGAGATGATAAACGCCACGCTCACATCCTGTAAGTGATGTGGAGAAGAAATATAAGAGATGTGGAGGAGAAAAAATAGTGATAAAGAATACACATCAGCAGCATGAATACATTTTTTATGTGCAGTTTTTGACCACCCATAGCACTATAAAGCAACGTATTTACATGTGGGCCCCTGCTTTTTTTGTACATGTGCAGGTGTATGTAAATGCACATGCGTGCGCAACTGTGTGGCGCAACACATTCATGCCAATGGAACACTATTTCACTGACCTGCAGGTGGTGGTAGCCCGCAAAGAAACACAACAAAACAATGGGCCAACAAAAAAAAAGGTTTCACACTATCAAAAATCAGCTTTGCAAATGTTTTATGAGGAAGGAAATACATTCAACATGTTTTTAGACCTCAAGGATACGCACGTGTGTACACAGTGGAAACAGGACTTTACAAGAAAGGGCACCCTTAACAAACCTACATTTGGTTTATCCAAATGTTTCCTCCTACATATTGCTTGCTTCCCCCTGGGGCAGGGTTGTAACACTCAAGCAGTTAAATCAGAAATGTTACTAAACTCTGTAGATCATTTCCATAGTAGAATAAAAAATATAATTTAGAAATATATATATATATATACAGTGGGTACGGAAAGTATTCAGACCCCTTTAAATTTTTCACTCTTTGTTTCATTGCAGCCATTTTCCAAAAATCAAAAAAGTTCATTTTATTTCTCAGTAATGTACACTCAGCACCCCATCTTGACAGAAAAAAAACAGAAATGTAGAAATTTTTGCAAATTTATTAAAAAAGAAAAACTGAAATATCACATGGTCATAAGTATTCAGACCCTTTGCTCAGTATTTAGTAGAAGCACCCTTTTGATCTAATACAGCCATGAGTCGTTTTGGGAAAGATGCAACAAGTTTTTCACATCTGGATTTGGGTATCCTCTGCCATTCCTCCTTGCAGATCCTCTCCAGTTCTGTCAGGTTGGATGGTAAACGTTGGTGGACAGCCATTTTCAGGTCTCTCCAGAGATGCTCAATTGGGTTTAAGTCAGGGCTCTGGCTGGACCATTCAAGAACAGCCACGGAGTTGTTGTGAAGCCACTCCTTCGTTATTTTAGCGGTGCGCTTAGGGTCATTGTCTTGTTGGAAGGTAAACCTTCGGCCCAGTCTGAGGTCCAGAGCACTCTGGAAAAGGTTTTCGTCCAGGAGATCCCTGTACTTGGCCGCATTCATCTTTCCCTCGACTGCAACCAGTCGTCCTGTCCCTGCAGCTGAAAAACACCCCCACAGCATGATGCTGCCACCACCATGCTTCACTGTTGACACTGTATTGGACAGGTGATGAGCAGTGCCTGGTTTTCTCCACACATACCGCTTAGAATTAAGGCCAAAAAGTTCTATCTTGGTCTCATCAGACCAGAGGATCTTATTTATCACCATCTTGGAGTCCTTCAGGTGTTTTTTAGCAAACTCCATGCGGGCTTTCATGTGTCTTGCACTGAGGAGAGGCTTCCGTCGGGCCGCTCTGCCATAAAGCCCCGACTGGTGGATTGCTGCAGTGATGGTTGACTTACTACAACTTTCTCCCATCTCCCGACTGCATCTCTGGAGCTCAGCCACAGTGACCTTTGGGTTCTTCTTTACCTCTCTCACCAAGGCTCTTCTCCCCCGATAGCTCAGTTTGGCCGGACGGCCAGCTCTAGGAAGGGTTCTGGTCGTCCCAAACGTCCTCCATTTGAGGATTATGGAGGCCACTGTGCTCTTAGGAACCTTAAGTGCAGCAGAAATTTTTTGTAACCTTGGCCAGATCTGTGCCTTGCCACAATTCTGTCTCTGAGCTCTTCAGGCAGTTCCTTTGACCTCATGATTCTCATATGCTCTGACATGCACTGTGAGCTGTAAGGTCTTATATAGACAGGTGTGTGGCTTTCCTAAACAAGTCCAATCAGTATAATCAAACACAGCTGGACTCAAATGAAGGTGTAGAACCATCTCAAGGATGATCAGAAGAAATAGACAGCACCTGAGTTAAATATGAGTGTCACGGCAAAGGGTCTGAATACTTATGACCATGTGATAATTCAGTTTTTCTTTTTTAATAAATTGGCAAAAATTTCTACATTTCTGTTTTTTCTGTCAAGATGGGGTGCTGAGTGTACATTACTGAGAAATAAAATTAACTTTTTAGATTTTTGGAAAATGGCTGCAATGAAACAAAGAGTGAAAAATGTAAAGGGGTCTGAATACTTTCCGTACCCACTGTATATATATATATATATATATATATATATATATATATATATATATATATATATATATATATATATATATATATATATATGAAAAACTAAATACTTGTAATTGATTGGAACTGGAGATTTAACTAAGATGTGTCTCTATATGGAAAACTGGGCCATTGTTGGTTAAAAGATCCACATGCATTTGGTGCTGTATTAACTCGTCTGTCCCACAAAGAGCAACGCATTGGGCCAGTGTAGGCCAACAGACTGACCTGGTCTCCCTGGTGTGCCACAACAGAGCCGGCTTTGACCTGGCGAAGATTAACCCTCCCCTCCAGCAGATTGGGGTCCTGATAACATGAAATGACATTTTAAAGACACAGAGATGTCTGATTACCAGTCTATATGACGTATCCAGTTATACATGACAGTTACAAATTAGCCTTCTGGCTAACAGTAGCATATTTGCAGTGATGTTGATCGATGTGCACTGTCCATAATTTGTGATTAGTGCGTATTGAAATTTATTACAAAAAATTACTATATTACTATTACTATATTTTAAACCAGTGAACTTTGTGTGTTGAAAAATCTTACAGGCATGTAAGCAATTAGTATGTTACCTCTATTTGGATGACCTGTAGCAGATCCTTTTTGGCAGCTTGGAAAATAGCATTAACTTTATTATGGTGGACATTTCCTCCTCCAGCATCAATATAGTGGTAAACAGCAGATGGCGTGTGCTGCATTGTCACACTCTTCTTTAGAATAGACTGAGGAGACCGAAACATGTAATGGAGACTTTTAGCCCTTTAGAAAAACACTAAACCACAACCCAAATGCTCATTCTAAATAACACCATGTCTATATGCAGAGTTAAAATAATCATTAGATCTATTATGTAACATTGTGGTGTAACATCCTGCTTAGTCTACATCCAAATGGCATTTTCATTTGTTCAATCAGATGAATACAACAATTAATAACCAGCCAGCTCTAATTCTCAAAAACAACTACATCAATGGCAGGAAAACAAAGAACTGCTTTATCCTCCAATCACTGATACTGCTGCATTTACATTTTTAGGGTTAAAATAAGTCAGTCTTTGTTTTTGTGAAACTGTCTAACTTGATTTAGAGTAATCTAAGAGCAAAATAAGACTGGCCAGACACGAAGGACAGAAGGACATACACAGACTAGTCTGAAATCTCTTTGTGAAACTGGCCCCACATGTTCAAAATCTGGATTCAAACCAGCAGCAAGTGCAGGAAAGAAAATTCTTATCTAGAGACCTTCACTGGGCTGTGAGGCAGAGTCTCCTCTTTGGTTGCCTGCTCACTTACTCTGTTGAGGTCAGCTGACATTTCACCTGCATGACACAAAAGGTTCACAGTTATCATACTGATCATTAGGGCTTAGTATCAACAACAACAAATTACTTACTGACACTTGACGCATTTCCTTGTTAGCAGACTTAATTTCAAATTTGCTGGTAAAAAAATCTAATTGTTTGATTGAGGTTTGGTAAATAGTTTTCAGATTTTGGAAATGGACCTTTGTTAGTGTTTATTTCTCATTTCATTATTTTAATTCTCCTTTATTCTGCACCTTATTTTAGTGGTTACTCGCCAATACATGCATGTATAAAAATGATACTGTGTGTATACCTGTAACGGCCATTGGGGTGGAGACAGAGCGAGACTTCTTGTATTTTGACGTGGATGTGTCAGAGGGGCTGGACTTTTCTGTTATAGTATGTGACAAGAAAACAGATACGTTTAGACAAACTACACGCACGTTACTGCCGCCTAAACATGAAATGTCGAGCTCTTGTTTCGGACCTGAATCAGCTTTTTCGGAGCCCAGATCATCAGAGTGGGAAGGCTGCTTGCGGAGGCCTCGGTGTGGATGAGTCTCACCCAGAACATGGGCCACCGACACCAAGGAGATGGCTTGGCTCTCCTGTAACACACACATAAATAAATATTTAATAAATAAATAAAGACATCTGTAGAAACAGTGTAAACCTTCTCCAAATAAATATGGGCTATGGTTTAATTCATATAGTGGAATAGATGATGGATATGAAGTGCATTTATCACATATTCTAGGACGAATACAACATTTAAATCCAATTCTATAAAAAGGTACATAAAAATAAGTATGTGGAGAGAGACTGAAGAAATGAAGACATTGACTGTTGGCATCAAATATTAGCTGGACTGGATCAAGTGGTCACAAAGTTTATTTGTGCGGTATTCCATTAAACACAGTGACTGGACAGGAAATAAGGACAGCTTTTTCAAGTAAGTTTAATTAAGCACAAGATATCTATCTATATCTATATCTCTCAAGCTGTATGCCAGAACTGAGCGAGACATCGACTCACCGATCCACACTACCAGGATCTACAGCAATGACATTGCAATGTCGTTCGGACTGGACAAGTGTGGTTGCATGGTGTGACGGAAAGGCTATAGGGTACCAAACATGCAACTTGACCGCAACGCCAAAGAGCCAGGCTCGTTGGTATATAGTGACGGTGGCCCGTCACACTGCCCTCCCCTTTGGGAGACGCCCCATTGCACTTTACGCATACAGGTGTCCGTCACAACTCCCGCCAATCGTACTTCTCCCATCTCAGGGTGCCACCACCTACTAGTGCTTCACCCACCTCTGGGGTCCCTCACACACACACACACACACACACACACACGGCAAGCCATCCCACTTCTGACACCACATGTGACGGAAAGGCAAGAGCAGTCACTCCACCCGGATTCGAACCCGGGTCTACGGGGTAGACCGAGGCCGAGGGCTAGTGAGTGTCAAGCCCGCTGTCCAGGATGAAACGATAAAGATCCAGGAGTACATCAGGAAGGTGGCCCCCAAAGATGAAGGGCTTAGTGAATACCTCAGGCAGCAGAAACCCGAAGGTGAGGACCTTCATGGAGAGACAAGCCGCTGCACGGCATGTACCACAGGCAAATAGAAGAAGATAGAAGATATCAAGAAATCCTACCAGTGGCTGGAAAGGGCTGGACTAAAGAACAGCACAGAAGCACAAATCATGGCGGCACAAGAACAGGCACTCAGTACAAGATCAATGGAGACTGGGGTCTACCACACCAGGCAGGACCCCAGGTGCAGACTGTGCAAGGATGCCCCTGAGACAGTACAGCACATAACAGCAGCGTGTAAGATGCAGGCAGGAAGTGCGTACATGGAACGCCATAACCAGGTAGCTGGCATAGTGTACAGGAACATCTGCCATGAGTATGGGCTGGAAGTCCCAAGGTCAAAATGGAAGACACCTCCTAAGGTAGTTGAGAATGACCGAGCTAAGATCCTGTGCGACTTCAAGATCCAGACTGACAAACTGGTGATGGCTAACCAACCAGACATCATGTAGATCGACAAACAGCAGAAGAAGGCTGCAGTGATAGATGTGGCCATCCCAAGAGACAGCAACAACAAGAAGAAGGGACATGAGAAGCTTGAGAAATACCAAGCGCTGAAAGAGGAGCTAGAGATGAGGAAAGTAACAGCAACAGTGGTGCCAGTGGTAATCGGAGCACTGGGGGCTGTGACCCCCAAACTGGGAGAGTGGCTACAGCAGATTCCAGGTAAAAACATCAGAGGTCTCTGTCCAGAAAATTGCAGATCTAAGAACAGCTAAGATACTGTGTAGAACCCTCAAACTCCCAGATCTCTGGTAGAGGACCCGAGCTTGAGGATGACACATAACACCCTGCAAGGGTACATGTACATATGGCATAGTTAACATTACTACTAATGACAATAACCACATTTCTATTAATAATCATGAAATATTACATTATGAAATAAACAATTAAATAATAATAAAATAAAAAAGTTAAAATTTATGATATTTATGTTATTCATGATTTTACTAATCCAATTCTGACACAAAAGAATCCGACCCAGCCTCTCCTATTTTTTTTATTTTTAAAGAAAACCATCTTAAAGTTAGAATCCTAAATATTTCAGCCCTGGCTGCTTTGGCGACGCCTGAAGTTACTGCAAAGTGTGTTCAAATAATGCATGTAGCAGAGTTCTGTTCAAAGTCAGTATATCAACCACTAGGAGCAGAAAACACACCCTGAGTAGCCACTCTATCAAAAGTGCAACAGAGGAGGAAGAGCAACTGGTATATCTGTTTACAGCACAGCTAAAGCTTTAAGTGTAATGTAAAAAATATATGAACTTCCAAGAGCTTTAAACATCCACTGACTTTCTCATATGTTCTTTTCTATGTATTTCGTGTAATTTCATAAACAACATTCTTGGTTTGTTATTTGTGGGTTAGTGAATGTGTGTATCAGCCGTATGTTTTATGACCTGCCTCAGGTTCACTTGTACTGTTTCACATTGATATTCAAATAAAATAAAAAAACATAGCCTAAAATTATAGTTTCCTTTTAATGGCCTTGAAAATCTAAGTCTCGTAGGAGGAGGTAATCCTCCAAACCATCTTACCCAAAAAGACATGTTTTGGATTGACAGGTTCTAATTTTGACCGAACTTGATAATGAAATGCTGTTCTATTCTCTGTAGTTATAATGCCCTGGTCTGCTACAAAGCTAATGTTTTTACTCCTCTGTCTCTTTACTTGCTACTTATGGCTATCTGAGCAGTATTTGGTCATTGGTCATTGTCTTGATGTCTTGTATGTACGTGACCTGCTGGCAAACACTACTCATGCCTAGTGCTGCATACAAAAGAGAACAGAACGAAGCAGAGCAGCATAACATTAAAACAAAGTATCAAAATGCCATTACCGGGTTGAAGAGCTCAGTAGTCAGGCCGAGGTAGTTGTGTAAGGCAAGGAAGGTCACTCTCTGGAGACGCACCATGATAATCTACAGAGGGTAGGAGGGAAACAAAATATGGTCTGCACTGTACCAAAAAAAGAAAGAAAAGAATGGATGCATATTTGGAAGCTGCCCACCCTTTTTTTGCATGTTATACACTGGCTAAAGTGGTACTTGCAATGTCTGTAGCTCACTTGATGAATCAAATTCCTCTCTTTGTCAATGGACACTTTACCTGGATGACACGGACCATAGTTTCAGGATATTTCTCAAAGACTGATTCGAAGGCCGCAGCTGGAAGACGCAGGACAGTGGAGGGAACTGCTGCTCTTGCAGACACTGTTTTGTAAGGTGCTGGGTAGCCCTGGAATACAGAAAAAAGGATGTTGTCAATAGTTCAATTGTACTGCAAGATAAAAAATGTGGATGTAAAAGTGAATAAAAGAAGGGCTGATGTACTAAAAGATGATATTGTACACAATATAGGTCACATTTCAGTAAAAATATGCCTAAAACAAGAGCATTCAGAAATGTTCACGTCATACCAAAATCTAGAAATCTCCATTGACCAAAGCATTCAGCTCAGACTGCACTGCATGCACAAATATTAGGCAAGTAGTACTGATTGAATCATTATTTCTATGCAATTTCTTACTCCAAACCATAGAAACTTGAATGCCTGTTGGAGTTAAGCATTGTCAGGTGATATGTATTTGTATAATGAGCGAGGATGTGGCAAAAGTAAATCACCTTATGTCAATGTGTGCATGATTATTAGTATTCAGCTAAAATGGGCCAAAAAAGATATTTAACTAACACTGAAAAGCCAAAAATTGTAAAAGCCTTTCAGACAGATGCAGCACTCTAGAAATAGCTAAACTTTTGAGGCGTGACCACCGGACAATCAAACGTTTTGTTGCTAATAGTCAACTAGGGCACAAAAAGCACATAGATAAGAAAAGGCGCAAATTAACTACAAAACAGAGTAGAATTAAACATGAAGCAGCCAGGAACCCATTATCCTCCAGTGCCACCATATTTCTGAACTGCAACCTACCAGGAGTGTCCAGAAGTACAAGGTGCCAAGTGCTCAGAGACATGGACAAGGTCAGGAAGGCTGAAACACGACCACCACTGTATAAGATTTACAAGTTGAAGCATCAAGATTGGGCAAAGAAATACCTGAAGACATGTTTATCAAAGGTTTTATGGACAGATGAAATGAGAGTGACTCTTGATGGACCAGATGGATCGGCCCTGGCTGGATCACTGATGGACACAGGGCACCACTTTGACTCAGGCGCCAGCAAGGTGGAGGAGGGGTACTGGTATGGGCTGCTATCATTAAGGATGAGATAGTTGGAACCTTTTTGGGTTGAAGATGGACTGATACTCAACTCCCAAATCTACTGCCAGTTTCTGGAAGATACTTTCAGTAAGCAATGGTACAGGAAGAAGCCCTCAACATTCAAGAAGGCTATGATCTTTATGCAGGACAATGATTCATCACATGCATCCAAGTACTCCACTGCTTGGCTAGCCAGCAAGAGGCTCAGAGATGCCCAAATAGTGACCTCGCCTCTTTCCTCACCTGACATGAATCCTTTTGAGAACTTGTGGGCCTTTCTCAAACGTGAGATTTACAGTCAGGGAAGACAATACACCTCTTTGAACAGCATTTGGGAGGCTGTGGTTTCTGCCTACAGCGAAAGATGATGGTGGACAGATCAAGAAACTGAGAGACTCCATGGATGGAAGGCTCATGACAGGTTCTGATAAGAAGGCTAGCTATATTGTCATTTCTGAAAGGCCAAAAATATAATTTAATTGTGATTGTGTTTTTACACTTATTCAAAAAATTAAGAATTCACAAGTCATTTGATAGAAATTATTTTGGTAATTTAGTTGCCTAATAATTCTACACTTATATATTCTCCTGAGAAAGACAAAACTCACTTTTCCTTAGTTAAACATTCAGGTTTGAGGTTCATATTTTGGATCGACTAAGAGCATTGCGTTTGTTCCACAATAAAATGAATCCCGAGGAATACAATTTGCCTAATAATTGTGGAGGCAGTGTACAGTATATTATGATCAAAATTAGAATTGATCTAATAGTATGTTATGTGCAATGTGACAGCTAGATTTTAAAAATTTGTTCTAGAGTAAAGACATATTATATATGGGAAAGAAGACGTACAGTGATGATGTCCAGGATACTGAGCAAACTGTGAACACTGTCTCCTGGTAAAACTTCCTTCACCACAGCGTCTGTACCATCCTGCAGTAAGAAAGCAAATCTCAACATGAGAGTGGAACAACAATCACAACAATAGTAAGGGTTTCAACACTTTTAACATTTTTCCTTTTGAACACAGCAAACAACAACAGCAAAACAAAAAACAAGTTCTAAACCATCGCTGAGTGTGAAATTTCTGTGAAGCAGTAAGTGTTGTGGTCAACCCTGTGGTCTTACACTCTCATGGATGCACAGCTCCAGACGGCCATCTTGAACCACGTAAATACTGTCATCAGTGTCACCCGGTCGGAAGAGTCCCTCTCCCTGGTGCAGCGGGATCAGCACCATGTGACGACACAGCTCCAGGAAAAGAGGCTTCTCGAAGTGGCCAAGCACCCTGGTTACATGTGTACATAAAGCGTAGTTCTATTACTGCTAATGATAATAATAATGACCACGTTTCCATTAAGAGTCATGGATTGCAACACTATGGAAATGTCAGCTTAAGGTATTCCCACAATAAAAATGTAATAAGTTGAACTGTATCTCATCCAAGATATAACTGATCCACATCTAATTCTGACACCATAGATGTACAACAAATCCATGAGTTTCGATACTCATGAGGATGCTAACTCGATCATGTTTCTTTCTCCTAAGAAACATAGCCAAACTTAGGTCTGTTGTGTCAAGAAATGAAATGGAGATGCTAATACATGTTTTTATCATCACGTTTGGACTACTGTAATTCTCTGTTTACCCGCGTTCATAAATCTTACAGTTTACAAACCGTCCAAAATGATGCTTCTAGGCTCTTAACACCATCCAGCAGATGGTCACATGTTAACCTCTCTGCAATGGCTTCCTGTTAATTTTATAATCATTTTAAAAAATGTGGCGCTCACTTTTAAAGCCATGCATGACCAGGTACCACAGTAGATCTAGGACCTTCTGCACCCCCACACCACTCCTCTACCCAGAGTTTTCTAATTGTACCTCGGACACGTTTGAAAACTCCGGGAGATTGTGCTTTCCAGTCGGCAGCCCCCAAGCTTTGGAATAGTCTCCCAATAAGTTTGACATCCATGAACGCTGTGGACTCTTTTAAAAAGCAGCTAAAAGCGATTTGTACAGACAGATATTACTGTATACTTAAACTTGTGACTTCAGGCTGTTCCTCTTGTATTTTTTTACGTGGTGTTTTATCTTTGTTTGAATTATTTGGCTCCATTTTATTTTATTTCTTTGACTGTGAAGCACTTTGGGACTAGTGTCTGTGAAAGGTGCTACATAAATAAACTGCTTGCTTTTAAAGAAACATTACAACATTAACAGACTAACCCAATAGAAGTAATTTTATCTTAAAATAACAGCTTCCAGTCCTTTTGATGGTATACTGACTTGTAAAAGGGAGAATGGTGTCATTACTACTCAGACCGACCGAAGATAACGTTGTTGGAGGAAGAGAGGAAGAGGAAAAGACAGTGTGAAGAGCAAGAGACCGAACAAGAGTAAATATCAGACTAGCTTTTGATAAACTAGTAATCATCAACGTAATTTTGAAATATTGACAACGCAGTGTGTGGAGAAAGATGAGAGCTGTGAATCATAAAAAACGGACTATACTGTATGAAAGAAAGACAAGCAGCAATCCTTTCATTTGAGAAGACGGTACCAGGGAATGTTTGGCATTTTTGCTTGAAAAAAAAATCACTTAAAAGGTGTCAAATCGATTATCATAAGTCAGTTGGCGATCACTCTTCTGTCAGTTTACTAATCAACTAATCTTCTCAGCACTGGAAATCTGATTTTTTACATTTTACACTGACAATTCATCAGGATCTAGTTTTACTCACCTGACATTTTTCAGCATGTACAGCACCTCAGAGGGCAGATTGGAGTTCTGCACATCAAACTCAGTCAGGTCGGCCTCCAGCAGACAGGGAGGTGGCTCCTTGGGCTGCAGGGTGGGGGGCTCCTTCCGGATGCGCAGGATCCTAACACAAACACACACACATAAAAACCTTTACACATCTTATTTCAACACACTAGTTTCTCTCAACTAACTTGGAACTTACATTATCCCTAAGAAGGTGCCTGCTATAAACCATGATATAAAATACTGAATTCTTCATTATGTTTATGTATTATATTTATTCTGTGTATTTATATTACAAATCATCTGTTTTAATACATGTATGTCTGTTTATTTACATTTTTTATTAAAGTTCTTAATTCTGCTCAGGTTAATGCTGAAGGGTTTAAATACTATACTTGAGCACATTTAAAAAAAACATCATATATGTACAGATGATCCAATATTCAGGGATGCGTGGTGGCTCACTCTGAAAATGTTTTTTTCCCCCTGCTCCCAGGTATTGTAAAATACCAGCTTATCTGGTAATAATCTTAACACAAGGTCCACTTACTTGGACCTTGTGTTAAGATTATTTTGTCAAACAACTGTTCCAGAGTTGAAGAATTTACTTTAAACCCTCAAAGCTTATCTTCTGTCTACACCAAATGCTTAAAACCAGTAACTTACTTGTGAGCTATAGACAGGACTTTGGCCCTCTTCCTCACTCTCTGCCGGGAAGCTGAGTTTGAAGTAGAGGCTGGGGCGGAGGAAAACGTCTGAACCTGCAACAAGCAAAGTTTGGTGATTTGACATGTTTGCATTGATGTGATGACTAACTGTATCTGATCATGAAAATGCCAATTGTGCTAATATCAAGATATCTGAAGTTATTGAAGGCACATGCAACAGAGCCTAATGATGGCAATGTCATCAGCCAATTGCCTCTGTCCGTCTGTCCATCTGTCCATCTGTCAAAGAAGTCCAACAGAGAAAAATACCATGACAACAGCTGGCCAGTTTGTGATGAAATTTGATATAAATCCTACTGGTCACAACAGGATGACATTTGTATATAACCTTAAACTTGTGGTGTCAGCACAGTATTAACAGATTTTTGCTGCGGTCTGTCAGTGCTGTGCTCTGAAACCAGCGTTTACAACTTGAGAATCCTGTATTCTGAGCTTGGCTACAGTTTGTGCCTCTCATATCTGATCAGAATCAGAATTAGCAAATCTATTTCCTAATAAAAACAACCATTAAAGTGAAGGTATAAGTGACACGTAATTGTGTATTAAAATATTAATTAATGGAAAGTAACATAACACAATTATGTCTTTTATAGTAAACTGATCTCATGTCTGTGACTCAAAAGCGAGGCCAGGGTAGCCATGCCCTGTTAGAGAGCCCAAACTGAATACAACACCTATACAAATTTGGGGTAAATGTACTATTAACTATTAAAACACAACATAACACACACATGCATGTATGTGCTGCCAGGTCGGGGGATCAGGGAAATCCATGGGGAGGGGGGGGGCTAAACTGAGGGGGATGTTTAAGAAGCACTGACCTTTCTCATGATCTTTCGACCGTAGAACATCACCTTGTCTCTCTTCCTGAAACGATAGTGAGGAACGCCAGCCTCCACTTCTGAAACACACCAGACGTCCTCCATAAGACCATTTGCAATCTACCATATGAATCGCTCTCTCTCCGCCCTTCATCCTATCGCTGAACTGTTGTACCGGGCTGCTTATACCACCCTGCAGTTTCATCCCTGAGAACAACAAACTTCATGCACTGACTACTTGATTTCTCCTTTTGCATGAACTGTGTATTCGGGTGAATTTTGTACATCTTTACATACTGAAAACATTTCAAATGTACTCTGTAATAAAAGGGGTTGTACAGTGTGCAGGGCACTGACTTGAAACTTTGTATTGTCTGTACAGAAGAAACACAACAACTCCAACGACAGAAACGACTGTCACAGCTCCAATCAGCACAGCCGTCCACTGGAAGAAAAAGACAGAACGCACAAAACGTATAAATATATAAAAATATAAAATATAAAATGTACACATCTCTAATATCAAAACCCTCCATTCAATTATTCTACCCATCCACATGTTTACTCAACATGTATTCGGTAGATTGCTGTGTGCTAAATTACAAAAACATGAACACCAAAGTACGTCCTTTGTGCACGTCAACACACATTACATTCATAAAAACCACAAACACCATTTGCAAACAATGCCCCAGTCAAACCATTAAAGTCAGGAATGTACTGTGAGTGGTTACCATGTTGGCTTCCGTCCTCTCTTCCACAAACTGCTGCATCGTTGCCTTGATCTCACTGCCGAGTGGAAGCAGGCTCTGAAACATCAAGAATAGAAACAACACTGAGGGACTGAACCCAACTGGACATGCAGAACAAGAATTGGGAGAGCAGCTGTTGATCATATGACTAAACAACAACTTAATCTATTCTTTAACATTTCAACACAATCCAAATAATCTGCAGAGACTTGTAATGCATTTGTCATGTCTTTCACAAAATACACATATGAGTGAAAAATACACGAGTTATGACCGTGTACCTAAATGGACAAGGACATGGAACTTTATTTTCAGACAATGATGTACAATGAAAGGTGTTGAGGAAAAACATACCGGGTATATGAGGCAGTTTTCCTCTTCACCTTCTTCCATGCCTGATAAAAGAGATAACGTAACACTAAAACAAGGTCATCTCTAGAAGTGCACCTTTAATAAAAAAACATTTCACAGTAGGGGAAAACGTGCATTTAAATTTCGCTCGGTCGCTTTGGTTCCTTTCTCAGATCAGAGGTGAGATTCTCAAAACTATTTGTTCAACCTCAAACATAATGTCTTATTAGCAATGAACAAAAAGCAAAGTCTTTTGGCACATTCATGAAAATAATTATGTAGATAGTAGATAGGTAGATTGATGAAGATATCTGTTGTGATGTGGATGAGAATCTGTGGCTGTGGGGTGCTTTCCATGTTTACATTTGTAATTTTGTATTTTGTTTCTGTTGGGCTATGCGGTGCTGTAAAACAGTCTTGTTTTTATCTTTTCTGTATCACAATGACATGCTCTTTCAGCAAATTATAGTACAAACAGTAAAAGCGTAACTGTGACTCCTTGCTTATCTCTTGCAATGTATAACTTTGTACTGTTGAAATCGATACACCGTACTGAAAAAGTGCAGCCTTGTACATTTTCAGTCATTGCCATCAACACCTTAGCCATAGTGTACATCCCATAATATTACAGAGTACACTGTTATACTGACAACATGGCTAAACATTTTGACTATCTTGTTTGTAAACAGTGACACAAGGACTTGTCATTCTGATGCACTGACATGTTCACTGACTTAAGTATTTACTTTTGAGAGATAGACTAAGGATTTTGAGCAATTTACAGGCAGGTAACCCACAATCTGTGTAAAGATATCGTCTTACTGTTCAGGAGGATTCGAGAAATGTACCAAAGCAACAAAAAAACTGTAAGACTTCCAAGATAGTTGATTACTTGCTAACGTGGTTCAGTATTTTGTATGTGTTTTATGAAGCTTTTGTGTTCATATATGAACAGCCTGTTGACTGAACCATTGACTCTATTAGTGCCTTGCTCTTCTCTGCTGACCTCCAAGGGGTCACAGAGCAAAAGGTTTCAGAAATCTGGGTTAAAGATCACCCACTCAGCTCAAGAAAAATAGGTCACTAGCTCAGTGCTTGTAACCAGACACTCCCTCCTGATGCTACTCCAATGGCTCTACACAGACACAGCTCAGAAAAACTGCTAGAAAGCTCGTCCAAGGGGAGATGGGGGGAGATGTTGGTCATCATGTTTAGTTTGTTTACGAATTACATTTGTGGGAGTCCCCTCTCTCGCTTTATTGATTTTGCATGTTGACTTCGCATTGGTCTGTCTTTTTGCGCCAAACTCCATTCAAAAATAGAAGATTGGAACATATGCCGAATTGAAAAGTGGATTTAAGTCATTCATATCGTATCATGTTTTCCAAGTGAGAGCATTTGCTGGAAAGCAATGAAAACAGAATGAACTGCTAGCCAGAAAGAGTTTCGCGACAACGCGCCGCATCATATTGACAGGATTTAAATGTAACGTTAACGTAATGCTGTAGAAGACGCAAAATAACCCACTCACCTATAACTAACATTTTAAAGTACACAGAAAGCCAAAATGTAATGTCAAAATGATCTAACAAAATCTTTTAACTTTATTTGTCTCACATACTGTGACCGCTGAATCCGCTTCTATGGCTGAAGTCCGCTACACAACAAGAAGACAAACCAGTGCCAGCGAAAAACTGAAAGAACAAGCCTTCATTGACAGAGTCTATAACAAAAACCGACGAACAAATACACACATACATACATCTTCAGCTAACCATTTTCAAATGAACAGAACAAACTATTTTTTCCCACGTACCTCTCTCGTGTCAAAGTTTTTGTGTACAGCTTACATGCCTTAGTGTAAAGACTGATTGGTTAAAAAAATCTGAATGTCCTGTTATTCTTATCAAAATAAGACCCTCGTTGAAGAAAATGTACGGAAGCCCAGATGTAATGCAGGCATAGACTGTATTAAAAGACGATGTAGGGTACAATTCAATAGCTGTATTATACTTTTTAGTGATAAAAAGCATATCTATAGTTCAGCTGAACATTAACAGAGATACATTTTTGCTTTGCACATACTGATGTGTCTTTTAAGCATTTATTGTGAAGGGCAATTTGCCTATTTTTTAAGTAACCCTGTCTCGCTTGATGCATCCAAATCACTGACAGGTCAATATCAGTATCTCGGATTTTAATTGGTGGATGGCGTTGCCTTTCATCCAATCACTGAGCATTTCATTGGATAGTCAGACACATTACTTGCATTGGACCGAAAGTGTGCTCAAGGTGAGAGGAGTCGAGTTTTGTAGCAATTTATAAATTTATGGGCAATTTAAAATCACAAAATTTTTACTTTATCCAACGTTACTATTGTGCAAATCCATTATTAGCTTGCCAGCAGACAATGCAACTTTAACTGGCTCTAAGATATCGTTAGTTAGCTAGCTAGCTCATGTGTTGACAGTTGTAACATTAAAGGCAACACACCGCTTTCAAATGTTAGAAATTTAACGCAGGTTTTCTTTATCTGAACCATTTTTGCTATATATGGAACAATTTGACGCTAACACCCTCAATCGATTCAGTAAGCGGAAAAAAAAAAAACACGATATGTTAGCGTGGTACAGGATGATTGCTTAGCCCCGCGACCCTGTAAAGTTACGCAGGATAAGCGGTTGACGATGGATGGATGATTGCTAACGATCCACTAGTTGTAACACTATCCACTCGTATTTACATGGATGTCAATTATTAGACAATTTATATAAATAATACGACAGTTGACGTGTTAATGTTGAAATGTGGTTATTGTTTGGGGATACACTTCTGCTGTCTTCACCACAATGTGTGTAAAACAATGGTTCATTCTCCGCAGGTTTTCTGTCCTTAAAAACGCTGCAGCACCATGGGTGTGTTGTCCACGCTGATGAGGGGTCTGGTTAGAGGAGCAGACAGAATGTCTGAGTTCACCAGCAAGCGTGGATCAAGGACCCATAACAAAGGCAGGGGCGCACGGCCCACGGGACTGCGGCTCTCCAGCAGAAAGTTTCTGTCCATAAGGGCCATGATTCCTGAGTTTGTGGTGCCTAACTTGGAAGGATTCAAACTCAGACCCTACGTATCATATCGCTGCCCCAGAGGAACAGAGCCTCCGCTCACAGCACAAAGTGTTTTTGCTGAGGTAGTGGCCCCTAAGATCAAGAAAGACTTTGAAGAGGGCACTTTCAGTAAAGAACAGCTGGAGAAATATGGCTTTGAGCCCACACAGGAGGGGAAGCTCTTCAAGCTGTATCCCAAGAACTATGTGCGTTAAAGTTGCACTCACTGTGATGTATTTACAAAGAAAGGCTCAGACTGCTGATGAAAGCTGCAGACAACACTTTCAGGAAAAAAATATTGCAAGTGTGTTTAGGAAGAGATTGACTTGCTTGATAAGTGGGAAAAATAAAACTTAAGATCCATGCTGCAGAATCAAGTCAAACTTATTTACCAACAAAACAAAGGGTATGTTTTTCACTGAAAGGATTTTCACTTGTGTCCAAGTCGAGATATGCATGGTAAGCCTAGAGCTTGTCAGTGCAACTCTATTGGTCAGAAAATGTAATGAACGTAAGTGGCCTCAACAAAGCGTTCCAAAATCATATGGTTGAGATCACACCTTGGATTTCTGGGGAGCAGCACAGAGGCATTACACATTCTACAAATGGCAAAGGGAGTGTATCTAGAGGAGGCTTCATTACAGCTAATATGTGAATAATAAATCAAACAGTAACCCTGCTAAAATGTCTTTAATGCTAAACTGAATCCAGGAGCATATAGTCTCCATAGGGAAGTGAATTGAGGGTCAATGGAGTTAAACACATTAAAACATACTGCATGGGTACATTCTTTTGTTAAAATGGTCTTCAAGCAAGGATTTCTTTGCGATTTTCCTAGTGCTTTCAAAATGCTTTAATGAGGAAAGGTATGAGTGAATGGTTGTATTGATCTTGTTGCTTAGGACATACAACAAAGATTCTAAACTATATTTGAATACAAGTTTCTAAAAATCAAGTCATTGTGAAAATATATGGTTTTCTGGTTGCATATTCTGTGGTAATCTAAAGTGTGGGGACTTTTACAGGGAAGACTGAGTGAAAAAACAGTATCATGCCCATGTTATTGCTGGGGTATACATTCTGCTTTACTTCGGGACATGTTATAATTTGACAGGAGATTTCTGTAGTGTCAGTGCTCCAGTCAGCATTGCTCCGATTCGTGTGGAGCCTCATCTGGGGTCCAGTCCCAGCGCCACACATGGAGCATATGGTCATAGAATGAGCAGCTCGACAGCAGAGAGAACATTGAAGGGGAATCCTCAGAGTTGAGGGCAGGACCTGCAGTAGGGGTGGTAGATGGCGCTGCAGTGCCTTCTGGGATGTATTGTCCAGAATCATCCTCCAGGGAAGTGTCAAAGCTGGCAGTGGGAGATTCATACTGAATCCTCAAGTGCCCTCCACTCTCTGTAAGGCTTTCCTTTGGTTCTGCAGCAGGAGGGGAGGAGGGAGCAGGTTTCTCCAGGGAGAGCTGGGACCAGTCGGCTCCATACGCCAGGGAGTTGTGGAGGATATAAGAGGCTACGACAGGACATGCTCCTCCACTGCCCTCTGGATGATGACAGGAAAATAACAATGGTTTCAGGCAAACTCCAACAACTTTTATGGCAGAAACATATATAGCGCACCTTTGATGCATCATGTCCCTTGTGGGATCCATTTCATTCACAACTTTTTACAGAATTGGGTCGACTGACTGTTCTCTCGTGTTTACTACCATCTAACGGCTCCCATTTTCTTCTGTACTCCAGATGTAGGACTGCAATGCTAAAGTGCTAGGGCAATGACAATCACATTCAAAGTTACTGCAGATACAACTGTCAGCAAGTCATCAGCTGTTGAGCTTTGTTGAGTCTCCAAAAATCATGGAAGCACGATGGAGGAAGTTAGTTCAACTTATGGGAATGAAATGGAATTATAAGGGTTATTTGCTCCAGCTGTATTAACCATGTCATATGCAGATAGAAACAAACCTTTTACCATATCATAAGCAGACATAATTGTAAACCTTCTAATGGAAATGTAAAATTCAACAATTTTGTGGAGTTGAACTTTAACTAAATGAATTAATTAGCTAGCAATTTACCTAATGGGGAAACATTCTTAAAATTCAAGCCACAAAGGTTTAACTCATTTTTAAAATAAATGTTTTACAATAAATAATGAATGGGAATAGATTAATTAAAACTCCTCAATTAGCATGCTCCATCAAGCTACATCCCACATGGTAACAGCTAGCTAACAAAAACTAGCAGAAGGTTTCAACCAGTTATAAACAGTGTCCTTTGCATTGGGATACAGTGGTAGTCACTACAGTTATATAATTAAACCTTAACTGAAAACATGAGGTGCTTTGGCTCAGACAGTTCAGTGGTGTGGGCTGCACATGTGAGAGGAGAATGCACTGTGCAAGCAGAGGGTTGTCATTTTACTGAATTTTTATTTAAAGGTATGCTGGCAAATGATCTGTACATATAATAGAGGATGCTGCTGAATGCAGTGCATGGTTACAATTCAATGGGTATACTTTCAACGAAAACATGCCATAAGACAGTTTTATTGTAAAAAAATAAAAAAGGTACAACTTTTAGATTGAAATAGTGCTAAATTCCCATGTGTCATTTTTAATTTACTGACCCTTTGTAACTCTAATTGCAACTAATGATTATTTTCACACCCCACAGTTTAGGGGTTGGGATGGTGAACTACAACGTCCCGGCTTTGAATCTGGCCACGGACATTTGTTGCGCCTTTTCCTGTCATCTTGCTACAATCACCACGTCTACTATCAGTGTAAAATACCACAAAAAATCATGCAAATTGTAGTGCTAATTATTTTCTCAAATAATCAATAAATCAGGCTGTCTGTAAGATGCCAGGCAGTGAAGAAATGCCCTTTTCAACATGGCAAACCAAACCAAAGATATTCAGTCAAATACCGCTAATCCTCATCTCAGGAGCTGAAACCAGAGAATGTTTGGCATCCGATCATCATATTAATTTTCTCTTGATCATTACTGTTTTAGCTCTAGCCATTACATTTTGTGAATCAGGAGACCAAACCCAAGAAAGAAAAAAAAAAAAGAGAGAGCGAAAGAGTTCATGTAAACAATCTAAAACAAGTATTTCCATGCCTCTCTCTTCTTCACACTCACCTAGAGCCTGCTGGCAGTGAAGGATATGAAAGTCATTGTGCATGCAGGCTGCCAGCAGTAGGTGCTGATGGGTCGGATGCCACTTCAACCTCCACACTCCACCCCCCATTGGACTCTCACTGAGAGGCTGCCGCATGTTCCTGCCATCCCACAACAAAACCTGCTCATCATAGCTGCAGAAAGAGAAGTACAGAGCACACGGCTTAAAGACAGTCCCACGATTCAAACAGTTTAGGACAATCACACCAACGCCATGAGGAAGCAGCGGTAGCAAACAGTAGTCTCAACTGTACAAAAAGGTAATTCTCACAAGTTAGCACACAGAGTTCATAGGGATATTTACCTGCCTGTAGCCAGGATGTGTTCCCGGTGTGGGTTGCTGTGAATACTGCATACGCCCATTGAGTGCCTTCAAGACAACAGAACAGAAATTGTGATTTGCCCATTGGACAGTCCAAATGAATGTTGAGGACACCAAAATAAGTACTCACCTTTTACTGGTGAAAATGGGGCAGGAGGGACCAAGCCTGAGATCCCAGCCTTTAAGTTTGCAATCATCACCACCTGGGATGACAAAAACACACATAGGAAATGCATCTACAAGTATACTGAAATAATCAATGCAAAGACATATAGCAGATAAAATTAGCTCCCTCTGTTCCACCGGAAATGCTGACTATGCATTAAAGCCTGCACACAGCAGTATTAGTAGATTACTTTTACTGATTGAAGTAAAGTTGATTTTTCAAATGCAATGTCCTAGTGTACATATGTTAGCCATAATTCTTTAATATGTCTCAAAAATGTTTGTGTATATTCTATGTTCATGAATATCAGCTTAGGGATCATTATCGGATTTGGTAATTCTGAAATATAGATGTTGGTGTCTGCATAAAAAATTCAGTATCAGTCGAGCTCCAGTTGAATACTGTTGTATAAAGTAAAGCGCAAAACTGTGCATTGTGCCACATCGTTCCAAAGGAGCCCCATGCTGCAGCACCACAGATTTATTTCTAAAATAATAATAATAATAATGCTTTCTCCATCAGGTAGCCAGATGACTCTGTTTCAGCTTCTGCAGGAAGCTGCTGCACATGCTAACAGACCATAGTTGGCTACAAGCTGGGAACACTGGTTTGACGTCAGTGACGTAAGAGCACCATGCTCACTCTGAGCCGACAGCAGCAAGTCAGTTTACACGGTGTTTGAACAGTTTAAGACATATCATGCCCAACATATCATGTAATCATTTTGTCTGGGAGGCTGTGGTTGTTACATTGAACATCAATTAACAAATAAAGTTATATACATAATTACTTCTGCAAAATCATACAATGACATAGGCACTCTGACATTAGGTAAATCTAGGCAGTGTGACGGCCGCATGAAGTAAAAGTTGGGGACCCCAATAAAATCTCTTCTTAGGACTCTCTCTGAAAGGTCAAGGGCAGCCCTGTAAGTATTCATTAAAAATGTGTGTTACCAGAGTAAACCAGCTGTGTGTCCCAGTAGGAGAAGGCTGAGATCCAGGCTTCGAAGTCATGGGCCTTCCACTGTGACAGAGCCGTCAGAGTGCCTTCAGCCAGGGAGAGCACACTGACGCAGCCTGCAGAGTCACTGCACACCACCCGCACGTCACTGCTGCTGACACCAACATGGGACATAAGACCAGTGTTGCTTGTGCTTCAACGGACTGGCAAAAAGTAGCCCAATGTGTAATGTTTGTGTGTGTGTGTGCATAATGTGACTGATAATGTAGCACTCATATGGACAGATGTAAGTGTTCTCTTATCACAGAGCTAAGACATAATAGGAAAAAAGTCTCAACTTCATTATAATAAACTGAGCTGGCATTGTGTGTTGCGCTGAGCTACAGATCTCAGAGCCCTCACAACTGGGCCAAAATGTTTTTTACCTGCCTGGTTAAATAAAGAGTAGCCCAGGGCGGCAAACAGCCCAATCCTGCACTGGATTAACATTATTTGATATGGCAAAATGTGACATTAACTATATGGGAAAATACAGCTGCAGGTGCTCTGGACCATGCTGGGTACGTTACCTGTGCATTCTTCCAGTGGACCAGTCTAATGACAGAGCCAGCCGCTCTGCTCCCACCTCCAAACTGCTCAGAGCCTGCAGACTGCGGCTGCCTTCCTACTGGATACATGCATTCATGAGCGCAGACTACCTCTTCAACAGTTGCAGTCACACTAAGTCTTCTGATACATAACTCACTCGTACACTTACTATAACACACTTACACACTTCATCCTGTTTAAACACACTGAAGGGACGATGTGTGGTCAAATGCCATAAGGTACATAATCAAATAAATAGAAGAGGATTTAAAAGAAATCGAAGTTATAGTGCTATTTGGTGTACAAACGTTTTGTCGTATTGTTCCGTGTACACATTCTTTGCTCACAGACAATTCCATATTAACCTCAATTATTATAATTATAAGAGTTTGGTTAGAATGATGTTCTTGACTCACAAGAAAATGGCACATCTGGACTCATCATTGCGGTCGCAAAGGCGTCTTTAAACCAAAATATCAGAGTATAGGATTCTTCTGATGCCACAGATCTCACCTGACTCTCTGATAGCGTGTACAGCTGAAGCTCTCCGGTGGCAGCTGCCATTCCCAGCACTGCCCCCCCTGACACCGGCACGTGGCACCTGGGAACATGCAAAACAACCAACAAGAAGGTAGCATACAGTGACCTCTATAGCCACACTGGCCAAACCTGAGTTCTTACCATTTTAAATCCAAAATGGCTGGCGTGTCCATGCGCTGTAGCTCAGTGAGAGGAGGGCTCATAGATCCCTCTCGACGGAATTCAAAAAGGTACAAACGACCTGTCCTGCTCGGGGTGGCATCCTCTTCCCCCGTCTAGAAGAAGTATGCAAAAGGGACAGTAACTTTGGGATTGCAAATGACCATCACAATTCAGTACAATTTGATCATTTAGAAATATTCAGCTCCTATTCCTACAGTCGTCCACTACACTCACCATACAGGGCTATGGTGAAGAGTACAAACTAAACATGTAACATTTTATTGAATTACAGGGGTGCTTGATGAATCATCTAATTTGCAGTCCACAAGTACTCTGACATTTACACACGTTTCACATGTGGCGGCTCTGTACTCTTGCACATTTGAACTGAAATAAAACTGACTATGAGGTGAAAGTGTTGAGAGCTCAAGTGAAAGTGAACATAGATTTTGGTCCATATTGACATTATGGCATCAAGCAGTTGCCGCAGATTGTCGGCTGCACATCCATGATGCGAATCTCCCGTTCCACCACATCCCAAAGGTGCTCTATTAGACTGAGATCTGGTGACTGTGGAGGCCATATGGGTATGTGTTACACAAGGTACCCTTCATTGTCTGTATGAGACACACTGGGATTTCAACTAACTCCTATGTAACCCATCCACGTCACGTAATGAAATGAAAAGTCAAAGTTATTTCAAGTTGTAAGTTACATACCATTACCTTATGTATCGTAATCTGTTTATTTCAGTTTTGGTGCCTAATCTTAACCAAACTGCGACCATTCATAATGTTAACCACATCTTAAACAGGTGTTTCATACGGACGCTGAAGGGTTTGTCAAAGTGTATTTAACGCCCTGAGATGAGAATGCGTTGGTAATCCAGCAGCCTCATTCCTGCCAATACAGCACAAAGTAACCACTTCAGCCATGTAGTTCTGGTTTGATTAATTAAATGTGCTCCTGTATTGCTCCTCCTCCACTCTGACTACCTCAGAGATTACCAGGTCTTTCCTCTCCTTCTTGGTGGCTGAGGACCACATCTTAGTGGGTGCTCCCCACTCAAGGCCAGATCTCCCTGCTTATGTCCTACCAACAATCTCCACCTTTCTATGTCATAGACAGGAAACAGCACTCATATTTTTCAGATAAACTACTGATGAGAACATGACAGATAAGTGTTGGTTGAGTATGAGATTCTGCCCATGGGACAGCATAGTGGTGTTGTGTCTAAGTCTGGTCCCCTGTCAATACGTGCTTCCCTGTACCTTAACCCAGTGGTTCAGACTTTTTCTGTCATGCCCCCCTTTAGAAGCTGACAAAAGTGGATTTCATTTTTATCAATGATTAAGAACAGGGGCAACTGAAATAAAATAGATTTAGGTTAGCTAACTAGCCTTGCATGCATCACTGTCCTTTTTTGGTTTATCCCATCACATAAATCCTATTCATGCAACTTTAGGTCTGCTCAACATTCATGTCCTCTCTGCAGTGGTACTATGCCACCCCACGGGGGCTCAACCCCCAGTATGAGAACCACTGCCTTAACCTGAACCCAATCCTGACCCTCAGGGGCACAACTGTGGAAAAAAAACTATTATTATAATGTGGGGGAAACACTATCTGACGAGTAACAGACATCTATACAATACGGGGAACTGTTGGTATGTAATCTCACCCCTTTCTGCAGCTGATATGTCCCGCAGGCCAGGATGTCGTGGCTCGATGGAACGGGACACCATTCGACCGTGTCTGCACTCAGCTCCGTGTCAAACACCTGTAGGTTGCGGGTCCTCGACTTCCACGCCATGACCACGGTCTGCTCTGCATAACGTTACTGTGTCTGTGCAATAGCTAAACAACAAAATGATATCTCGTTACATATCAACTGTAAAAACAAAAGTAAAATCACACTTAAGCAATCGTATCTAACTTAGCCAACTTTCATTAGGCTATCTGAGCTAACGTGAACTAAAATATCCTGTGGTAGTTAGCTAGACAGCTACATACATTTATCACACTTCACGCAGTCTCACGCAGCGCAAATTGTCAACAGACAGACACTTGTGACAGTGAACAGATATCCAACAGGTGAATTAAATGTCCAAAGTCAAATGAACTTTAATACTGAATATGCACAGAACAAACCATTATCAACAAAACTCACACGTGAGCCTGCCCCGACACGACGACTCTATGCGTCGTTACGTCACCGCTGGCCGTAAGGGTGCATTCAGGCACCACATCAAAACAACAGAAAAGAGCGGGCTGAGTAAAACAACCCCAAAATCCACAACTTTATTTCTTTACATTTCACCTGCATCGACTTAAGGGCCATTCCAGAATTGGAGGACAATTTAGGCATCAACACTTTTGAGAAATTAATAATTATTTTATCATTTTCTGTTATGTATATAAAAAAAACAGGTAATACACCATAAAATAAATTGATTCGTCCAGCTCAGGCATCAAATGTGCACTTTCTATTAGATGTTTTATTTGTTGTGTGCTATGCTTGGCGCACCCCTTTTAGGAATACTCAGGAACCTCAAAAAGTATGTTTTAAAATATTTGTTTAATAAATACAATTAAGTAAAGAAATTCACATTCACACTGAATACTCATTTAATTTTAGATAAAACTTTACCCAACTTTTAAATAGTTACAAGTTTTGTTTTACTAATTTCAGTATTTATTTTCAAATATTTGCTGAAATACGTTATGCAATTAATTATTCAAGAAATTCAAAGGACAATAGGTAAAACCCTTGTGAGCTGAGAAAAATCATTTACGATTATTTTAATATAAATTATATTGGTTGCACAAAGTAACAGGGTTGAATGGATTCATTACTTTTTATTGTAGAACATGACATAAATGTGACAAATGTGTTATTTATATAAGATTTTATCTATCTTTTCAGTGAAGGATCAACAGGATGAATAGGACTGCAGACTGGATCTGATCAAATATTCGATGTACAAACATGTTATCAAAAACACTCACAAACTGATCAATATTTTACAAAGCTGATTTGTTCAGATGTTGTTCACTATGGCATATCTCTCTTGCGATGGCCACATGGCTTAATAATCCCATCCAGGTAGTTGATGCAACCTTAACCTGCTAAGGTTACCTGGAGGCAATAACAGAAAATACTGGAAATGTATTCTTGAAAACATGGTAATACATTTAAAACATGTAGATTATGCAAAATTATACATATATTTAATGTTATTATAGATGATAGACTGTCCCTTCTGAGTGAATTTAAGGCGATGCAACCCTGTTACTGTAGTGTAAACTACTACTGTTACTGTAGCGTAACAGGGTTGCATGCATGTTTGGGACACAACTTCTGTGTATAAATATTATTGTTTAATATATATTGATGATTTCAAATTATAAGAACATATATCAAAAAATTTATAAAAAAAAAAAATTAATATATAAATTATATTCTGGAGCCCCTTTTTCTACAACTATGTTTACATTTCGTCTCAGGACAAGTATGATTCACACAACAAGTGCATGTTTTAGTATTTTGCACATGGATTATTTGAAATTGAATGGGTGGGATTATTACCAAGCAGACTTGGTGTAAGCAGTCCTCAGGACTCTATTTACTTACTCTATTTACTTTACTTTAGTGTTTGGTACTCTCTAGTGGTCAAAGCAAGAAACTACAACTACTAGTTCTCCACTGGCAAACATACAATACACAAAACGTAAAGTTGTATCCCAGTACCACAGATATGTCTGTATTATTGCCAAATAATTTTAGTTACTCACTCTGATAAACATACAATGAACACTAAGTTAGTGCGTCAAGTCAAACACAAATACAGTCAGACGAAACAGCCCGCTTCCGGTTACTAGATTAAAAATAAAACGTTCAAAATGGACAAAAAATACATTTGAAAAACATTTGCCCAAGCCTGAGTGAAGTCCCTGCTCTGCTAATCACTAACATGTTGTTATATTATAAAAACTAGCCGATGTTAAAGTGAGTTTAATGCTTTGATTTTAAATATTTTGATAACGTCACATGTTTGACGTAACGAGGCCTCGTCCATAGTGGTCACGTGATTTTTGGCGTTTGGCCATAACGTCTTGCAGCTGTTGTCGAGTAGTCTGCTTCGAGTGTAGCATCACTAGCTGGCAGATACAAACGTAATGGATTTCAACGTGAAGAAGTTAGCCTCCGGCGCGGGATTGTTTTTTACACGAGCTGTCCAGGTAATGAAATAAGCTTGCAAAAGCAGGTTCAAAGGACTAACGTTATGCTCTGGGTGACGCTTCCTCTCATTTTGACAGCCAGCTGTTATTTACGTTACTGCCTAACGTTACGGTAACGTTACCGTATCTGACTTGTCAGTATAACGTTATTGCACTGCCCAGCTAACGTAACGCTGCTTATTTGCACAGGAAGCAGATACAATTACTTGATATTCAGCTGCGTCTTGGTAATAATTTAGGCCTAACTTACATTGTAATTAGACATAGTGCTGTACAAATGCTAGTAATGGCAGTGTTGTTAGCCACTAGGATAACGTTATGTTACATACGTTACGTTAATGTAGCGTTATCGTTTTGGGCCAGCTAGCTAGCATACCAGTAGCTAATACAATAGTTATTAAAAACTTAATCAAAAGAGCGTAGCAGTTTGTAATAGATGTATCAACTTGTGTTCATTTGGACATGTTTGAGAGTGACAGGGGAGAGAGGACAGAATGATTGACATGTGAGCAAGTGAATGGGAGCCTTCATGGAGTTCTGACAAAACGTTGGTTAAACCCAGGCGAGGTAGAAACAGCTGTGCTTCTTCACTGAACTATCCACTTGTGAGAGTTTGTGTGGTGTGTGTGCTCTGCCTCAGTTCACAGAGGAGAAGTTGGGCCAGGCGGAGAAGACTGAGTTGGACGCTCACTTTGAGAACCTGATGAGCCGCGCAGACTGCACCAAACACTGGACAGAGAAAATCTACCGACAGACTGAGGTCCTGCTGCAGCCCAACCCAAGTATGACATCAATATAGCAACCCTACCATTAGAGCTGGAAAGAGTATTCTTTAGTACATATTATCAAGCAGAACTACTGCTAGGTAATTGTTTTCATAATTATAAGCTAGATGACAGATGTTAAAAGCAACATAAGGGAATTGTTAGCTCATATATACAACCTACTGTAAATGGAGGGTAATGATTTTATTATAAAGAGATACATTATCAGATATTGTCAAACATTGGCACACTGATGGGAAAATGAAACAACATTTAGACCATGGTTATGGCTCACCCCAAAAGTCAGGAGCATTTGTATTTGTAGACATAGCTTTGTGATAGTTCAGGAGCTAATGTTGGAGTTTGTAGCACATTTATTTATTTCAGACTGACCCAATGAATGTTTCATTTCTTTTTGCCGTCAGTGTAATTAATTAATAATAATACTATAGTATCTGATCTAGACATTGCAATACCTTTTATATAAATGATTAAAGGACCACACTGGTGGCACAGCATGTTACTACAAATGAGGTATGATGAGCATAAAAAGTGCAGCAAAGTGGTTCTGCTAAAAAAAAAAAAAAGCCAGCCAGTTCAGTTACATTTTTGATACATGACCTGAAGGCAGATAAGCCATCATGTCCCACTTGACTAACATGCACAGTTCTTCTTATAGGATTACTAGTATTGTGGATGAATACAGAGCCCTGAGCTGCTGTAAACAGCTGCCCTTCTCTATCCTACCTATCTCTGCAGGGCAGGTATAGAGGAGTATTGGCCTCTCTTATCTTCAGCACATTTGATAAGTTTGAGGTTTGCCCAAACTGTAAAATGTTTCATTTGAGATGAAGTCTACTTTTTGTAGCATTTGCTAACATCACTGGCTTTGTCAGCAGAGATTATATGTGCTCGGTGGAGTTTTCTTGTAATCAAACAAAAGTTATGTTTTTCAATATTTAAAAGTATGCATTGTTTAGTCCGTCATTACTATTTACCAGTCTTTCTCCACTGCCTTTATTGGTGCATTGCTGTGCTTCTCTGCGCACTACTGCCACCAACTGTACATCAGCAGAATAGCATGAAAGTTGTAGCAGGAATATGCCTCACGTCAAGTGCGTGTGTGTTTGCATGCACACAGTGCTAACAAAACAGGGACTTAAAGAGGTGGTATTATGCTTTTTAGCCTTTTCCCTCTCCTTTATTGAGTTATATATCTTTTTTGTGCATGTAATAGGGTTGCAAAGTGAAAAACCCTCAAGTCCACCCCAAAGGGAGTTCCCATCTCCACAGAAAACACTGCTCTGAACTGCCTGAAAACAGCTCGTTTGTAGTCCAGTCGTTTCCCTTTGATCCCTGTGACGACACAGCAAAATGCGCATCATAACGCTCGCACAAGCGGCTAGTCCAACACGCCCTCAAAAACACCAGTGAAAAAACACTGAGCTGCAGCACACAGTGACAAGACATCCGCCTGCTAGCTACACTAGCTACCCTCCAGGCAGTCAGTGGACATAAAGTTGTTACTGTGATGTAGAGACAGAGCTCAGTTAAAACTTTATGGATGAGAGATACTTTTGTTACAGAATAATAACTCACCACTCTGAAACTCTTGCTCCAGCCTATGCTGCTAAGCCGGTAAGGGGATATACAGTTGAACCAAAGCCGTGTTTACCGGCTTCTCACGACCACCCCTACTCTGCTTCTGATTGGCTAGTAGTCCTTAACTAGGAACTGCGCATGTGCAGCTCCCAACAAAGATCATGTAGAGGCAAGGCGCCTCACTTCATGGATAAAACGAAGCCTACAACAGGGTGAAAAGAGGAGCTGCAGCAATGTGCAGTATGACAAAAATATGGTGTTATTTGAAAATGAAACCATGTAAACCTGTTCTGGTACAACCCCTAAATAAGATTTTGAACCTGAAAATGAGCATAATATGACCTCTTTAACTGTAAGAGCATTGCTCCATAGCACTAGTCATCAAAAACTCCAAGGGTACTTTTAAAATGGGGCCAGCTTGCAAGTTCTACTTTGACAAAAAGGATACAGCTAAATGAAATTTGTAGTTAAAAAGCTGAAACATGCAAAACCAATGGTATGGTCCTTACAGTAATACAAAAAGACTGATGCAAATAATATTTCTTTCTGAATAGGCACTGTAACTCACATGGCTTTCTACCAGATGTTAAGCAGTGCAGTTGTGAAAAACTGTGCAAGAAGGTTTTATCAGCATATTTGCAATGACACTTCAGTCACTGTCACTTCAGTTCAAGACACTGTACACACCATAGCTTAGTAACATTATTTTTAGGTTTACAGTGATATGGAATTGGAGACTAGGGAGCTCTAACGTATGACTTTTTGATTCTCCATGCTACAGTTGATCACACTGGTGAGTATTCTGCCTCCCTACTAGTGTCCTGCTGTGAAAACCTTTCATGCCATTGAACTATCAGTACAGTGAAGTAGCTGATGAACATTAAAATGACCAAATCCGTACATGATTGGTTGGGATTGAAATCAAAGTTGGCAGCAAAATACATTTTTAATGCACAACGACTCAAAGCATCAGGTTGACTTCAGTGCTGACCATGACCAGCAGGACATCACTAAGGATGAGTCGTATTTTGGCACACAGCTGATTATGAGTCAGCACAGTATGTGTATATGGGTGAATGGTTAGTCTGTGCTACATGAGAATCCCTGAGGGTTTCTGTGAGAGCCGAAGTCCTGCCCCTTTTTCAGTTTAGTCTGTGTTTCACTGGGCTCCGCCGGACAAAGTGTTTTTTTTCCTCATCTGTCTTTCTCTGAAGCTGAAACATGATATTGGGGTGTTCTGTCCATATTCTAAGAAAAAAGACAAGACCGTCTACTACTATTCATGCTTGTCTCATTAGAGTGCTTGTTAGCATTTGTTAGTGTTACATTCAGGCTTAATTGAGTCTGAACAGGATATGTATGCAGTGGAGAGACTCCTCACTCTTCCCCGCTCCCAAGGTGATTAGTTTAGATCAAAGTTCACATTTGCACAGTTATTATTATTAGCAAAATGAGCCTTAGGGTGAGTATTGCCAAATTATAATTTCAAATACGGTATATAAAGTTGGGGGACTTGTAACAGGCAGATTATTTTAAAAAGTGGTCCAAAATCAATCAGCATTGGTACAAACATCCTGCCTCTTTGTCCCTGGTATGTGTTGAGCTCCAAAAACACTGCATCCTACATTTCCCATTGTACAACAGTTTTCACATTTTGTGCAGTACTCTACGTGACTAGTAAATTGAAGCATGTGGAAGTTTAGCAGAACACACCGGGATATACATATGGCTCAGTCGAGTTTAGACACTTTGTTCGTTTCATTAAATTACCACATAATGAACAAATGGGTAGGATGAACCGTAGAGCATTACATTCACAATCAAATAAGTGTAAAAAAAAAAAAAAGAGAGAGAGAGAGAGAGAGACACACATTCAAGAGCTGTAAGGAGTTATGCAGTTAATAAATCAATAAAATTGAGTTAACATAAAAGAGACCAAATGTGATCCTGTCTGATCAGCGTTTTACAGAGGTGATGTATTTCTCAAATGATTTAGAAGTCTCATTAAGACGAATGCATTTTAAAAAATACAAATACTTTATATAACCACATGTGGAGGTTTTGCCATAACTGCATAGTGTTAGTACATTAATTCTAATCTTCTGACTATGCCTGCCTGTAAGTAGATCTCAAACAATATCTCTCAAACTAGTTTGCAGTACATAATGTTGTGGAATAACTCAACGGTCTTCACTCAAATGTGCCACAAACCCTCATGAACATTCTAGTACTTTACTGTCTTTGTTAAAATACAATAGTTTAGCTTAGAATATGGACAGAAGCCCACACATATGATAATATTTCACTTTTGCGGAAAGAATGACTATAAGGGATTACATGTAGCAGTTAAAGCAAGTGGAACAGAAGATAATCTAGAAATAGAACAGGATTTGAGATTGTTTTTACTTTTGGGAATTTGCCTCCTCATGTTTTACCATTTTTACATAGTTCTTACTCATCTCATCATCTCCTACTAGTTGATAGCAACCTGTAAAAGTGTGTAGTTATGCCTGTGTTTGTGGAGTATGTAAACCATATTTAAAGAAATAGTTTGGGCTTTTGAAGTGGGACTGTATGAGGTACTTAATCACAGTCAGTGTATTACCTGCAGTAGATTACCAGCAGTCAGTGCATCCTCAGTTTGGAGAACCAGAGAGTTGTACCATCATGGAAGCTAAGCAATGTACTGCAGTAAATGTGGTCAGCAGCAAAATGCATTTTAGCCAACTAAATGAAGGCCCATTGAAGTTCAAGTTCAAGTGTACTATATTTAGAATATTTTCAGTGCTGTACCTCGCAGCCAGACAGCCATTTCCTCTGGAACTACATTTTCTCAGGCGTAGAACTTCCATAGAGGTTTTGATTTCACTCTGTAACATTTTTGAGGCTGTAGTGTGTGGTGGTGTTTATTTACTGATTGCATTACAGGCAATAGACAAAATAACTAAAACTTTTATGATATGTGTTTCTGAAAAGGACATCAACAAAAAATAACATCGGCCGATACTAAAATGTCAAAATCTGTATTAGTCTTAAAAGTCCATCATTGTTTGGGCTCTAATGTAAACCTGCAATGAGTCACAGTAAAAGTTTCCCTTTCACGCCGTTACAGACCGTGCATATTTTAAGCACAATTCAATTAAAGCAAAACTAGATCTGTTATAATAAATCTTTTAGGAATATACTAAGCATACTGCCGGACACATCATGGATTGGGTTATATTGCACAAAGAGCATGAGAATTTTGTTTTTCTGCTGCTCAGAAGAACCTGGGCCCCGTTTCAGAAAGCAGGCTTAGCAAACTCTGAACTTATCCCTGAGCTCTGAGTTGTCTGAGCCTGAGATGTAAAACTCAGAGTTTTTGGTTCCAGAACAGCTGATCAGAATTAGTTCTATAAACTCTGACTATGTTGAACCTGATGGAAGCGCGTGCATGCATTTTTAATTGGGTGGAGCTATAAATTTTAATGCTTGCCAATGTGGAACATGATAGGCTATTTATTTTCAAACTGTAAAGTTTTAGATGTCTATTTTACATTAATAAAATCTTGTTGATTTCGTATTTAATGAAACACATTAAGACTGCAGCTTATAATACACTTTTAAATTATATTAATACGGTTCAGCTGCACCACAGTCATCCTCACTAAGAAATATTCACATCACATCCAGTTGATAACTTCGGTAGGAATGTTCCAATCAGTGCGACTACACTATGATTACTGATCATTGATCAGTTTTAGTTTAAACGGTGATTACTGAAGTAATGTAGCTCACGGTACGTGTTTCAGTGCCACTGTTGCCAACCTGACAGCTGCCTTGTGTCCACAGAATCATAGTGTTATAAAGAAGGACTGTGGCCTATAGCTTTTATTCTGTGCTGAGGATAAATCCACCATGTCCGGAGATAACATACACTGATGACAGAGTGATCATAAAAGCATGTTCAAGATCATGTTTGGGTAAAAGACTAATAGCCTATCTAACCAGGATTTCGATGTTTCTAAGGACGTAAATGTGTTCCGATATGTGCTTTGATATCGACCGTATGAATGAGGAAATTAAACGGTTTGTCAGACAGCCGCATCAGGCTCCGGAGGAGGGGAGGAGTCAAGAGAGAAACTGACCGTTGTCTAACTTATCCTGTCACAGCATCAGTTGCCGGTGTTACTGTTATAGGGTTTATCTGATCTCAGTCTCTGAAACAGAAAACCCAGAGTTTCCCTCATCTCGGGCTTAACATACTCAGAATTTTCACTAATCTAGCTTTCTGAAACAGGGCCATGATCATTTTCAGTGGGTACTTGTTTGCCATGACATGTAAGGAAAGACCTTTTCATCAGGTAATCCAGAGAAGAATACACAGGGTGAGCAGGGGTGGAAAGTAAATACATTCAATTTAAAAGTATGATACTCTTTTGCTTCTTCTGTTTTCTCTCTGCTAAGTTTCATCATAAACTACTCAACAACAGTCTAGAAATGTATAGTTTCACCAGTAGTTAGTTACATAGCAGTTACAGCAGTAACAACAGTAAAATGCTGCTTACAGGTAAACATATCAATAACACCACAAAAACGGTAATTCTGCACAATGAACACCTGTACTTAAGTGCGTTGTGGTCTTGAAAAGGTGTATTTTTACATTGTTGTATAGATACTTCAACTTAATCCATTGATGTTTGACCACAAGGGGGCTGAAAAACATCAGCAAACAATTCCCTATTTTACATTCTCCAGGAGTAACACCTGGTGCATAAGTCCAAGATTCACCCTCCTTTTACCTATGTTTTTATCTCCATTTATTGAGAAAAATAACTAGATGTGTATTTTATTAGAGGCTCTACTATGTTATATTCACCAGCCGCCCTATAATTGTGTCTGTCTGCTGTGCTGAGCAGTTAGTGTTCACTATGTTTATCAGAGTTTATATGCTGTGTACGAGTTGATGAGTGACTCAGACTAAACTATACATGTGAAATTATTATCATTAAATTAAAACAATGAGCTAAAAGAAGCGAAAAGTTTGATAGAACAGAGTTGAGTTTGAACTGACCACTGATGGGTAGTGAATGAAACGTACATTCTTATTTTTGGGTATAGCTTTAATTTAATCAGCATGAGAAGTAAGTGTGTTTCTTTGTTTCCCCGCTGGGCCATAAATTAACTCTTTTTGGCTTCCCTGCAGGTGCCAGAATTGAGGAGTTTCTCTATGAAAAGTTGGATAGGAAGGCACCTTCCAGAATTACCAATGGAGAGCTGCTTGGTCAGTATATGCAGGATGCAGCTAAGGAATTCGGTCCGGGAACTCCATATGGTGAGTATGCAGCCACGTAAAAACAAGCTTCAAGGGGTTCAAAATTTAATGGATCAGGTAAAACATGTTAACACAAGGTGTAAATGCATGCAGAACGCATTGCAGTTGGAATGCTATCGGATTAGCCTGGCACCCTACATAACAAGTTGAAAGGTCACCTAACCTAGGGCCCTATGAATTCCACGGATGGGAATCACGCAATTTAAGGATAAAAATGGAATCAACTGTAAAATGTGGATGCTATTTATACAATTGGGACTTTGCCTAGCTTATAGGTGCACTTTTCACAGCACTTAAGCCAAATGAACAGAAAAATCTCTGCTGCTATGTTTTAGTGTCAATTACGGGCATTGCTTCTTTCCTCTGCTCTCTGTATTTCACAGAGGGCTGGGCTCATTGCCTCCTCTGCACACACATACACCGTCATATTGAAGTGGGCGTGTTAGCAAGAGCTCGTCACTAATAACTTAATGTAGGACATTCACATGTACTGCAACAATCAATTAATTGTGAATTTCCCCCATTGTCCATGTATGTATGTTCACATACATTTGAATATTTCTATATACATATTTGCATGATACATCAAATGTATTGATATTGATTACATTTTAAATATGTTCTTATTGAATTGTTTAAATTTGATTCAGCCACTATGTGATTACACACTCTTTCTGATGACAAAATGTGCTTAAATTGTAAAACACAGAGTTCAGAAAAATCTCAACAGAAAACACGGAATGTGGGAAAAATTAAAATGGATTTCATTGGGCCCTACCTAACCTAACGCCTCCTCCTGTAGTCTGAAGCGGCCCATCAAAAAGCTGATGTAGCTTTTGTTTAAATATTTTACCATGCTCTTTTCTTTTTGATTTTCCCAGCTAGATAACTTGTTTACTCTTTTGTTTCTGGTTCTTGTTTTTCTAATATTTTGTCCCCCCCCCCATTTTAATCAGTGACCATAGACTAAATATACAGTAAATATTAACACCTGTCATCATAACATATTTCAACAAACTACAGCCTTCAAAATGACCACGCAGCAACAGTTTCAACAAACAAACCTTCATGAAGGTAAAATGTATAGCGGTCGTATCTATTAGTTTTAGCGAGGTCTACCAAATGAACTACAATGACATAGACAAGTTTAGACATATTTCCCCTAAATTCAGCTGGACAGTCGTTTCATAAAACAATATGGGGTATGTGCAGTTTATATTGAGGAAAAATATACTGGTGTCTGAATCCAATGTGGAGAACTAGCTTTATTCTGTATATGCGTGAAAATTGTTGTCTACATTGGTAATGAAAATCCCTTTGCGTTATTTGATTGCTCTCTCCCTTTTCTCTCATTTTCACCCACAGGCGAATACAGATATATGTGAAGCCAATAAATCAGCTCCCACCCTGTCTGTGGTAAAACTAAAGATCAATAGTCTTAACGGCTAGAACGAGCTCAAATGCACTCCTCGTGATGCTGCTGCAGCAGTATTCAGGGCATCTGTACAGATGTACTTGGTAAAATCCATTGCTCAGTGGCCTGGTCCAGAATCAGATTTATGCAAGAGTTTGGCAACCCTGGTGGTAGCTTATCGTCTTTGCTGCGTCCCCTACAGGGGTTCTTTGGATTTTGGAGTTCTAAAACATCCCAGAATATGTCTATCAGTGTCACTGTCTGTTTAGTCTGTTTTCATTTAATGCTGAAACTGCTCTTTTCCCGTAAACAAGATTTTTCATCTTAAGCTGTGGAAGTAACATTGTTTGGTTCATGTTAAATATTTACAGACATTTTATCAGAGATGAAACTGCTTTCTCCCCATAATTTTAGAGAGTCCACACCAGGGTCTGAAATTCACTGCCAGCCATTGTGGCAGGGATGTCTTTTTTCTTTGTCTGCCACTTTTAAAATACACTAAATGAAGGACTAACATTCAACTAATTTAAGCATAATTTAATCCAAATAAGTTGTCAGTCAATGGTCAGTAAATTTACACAAAATCCTTACAGGCATGTTTGCATGCACAAAGGACCCATATCTTTAAATACAAAACAATCACTCCACCTTACTAATTTTAGACCCTGGTCCTAACTGCCACAAAATTGGAGTTTAATGCACAAAGGATGAGTTCACCTAAATTACGTTAGATCATTTTGGTATCATTTCCTCATGTCCTTAGATATCCATTTTGCAGATTTCTGCCACACCCCACTACCATGAAGATGAGTTGAATTTTGTTTGTGTTTGAAACATCTCTTACCAAAAACAGTGTCTGGAGTAGTCTAGAGATGTCATGGACTTCACTGTAAACAGTTTTCATTGGAACTGCTGACACATTGACACATTCAAAGCAGTAGCAGTCCCTATGAAATCTATCCATGGTATGTTTATGGGTAGAGGTCGGCCTTTGACATGTGAAAACTAAATTGTGTCAATATCTGTTAAAAAACTATAAATATAGGAACATTTAAAAAAAAAAAAAAATAGTTCTCTGACTATTGTAATTAAAAACATTCCTCTGAAGCTCAATTCTGAGGTTTTTCGGTAAATAGTTTTCTAATAAATATAGCAACTTCTGATCAACCATACCAATTTCACGCTTAAACTTCTGCCCTGCCTATTCCGAGTACAGCTATAGATACAGATAATTTAATTTATAATAATATTTATAATTTAAACAGATACAGATAGTGGAGTACTCGCTCATCCCTAGTGAATACACACTTTTGTGTTAATGGCCAGTGCAAATCATTAATACTAAATGAAATAAACATCACTAGATGGCATAAATCTATTATAATGAAATTCAGTAATCTTTCATATAGATGAAAAATAATTGAAAGAACTTTAATGGTCCCATTGTTCCACAAAAAAAACAAATACCGAAAAAAGACTCAACACCATTCACATATCCTTTCTTAAACCTCCTCGTGAATTGTCACTTCTGAAAAGTTCAGACAAACATGAATTGTCTGTATTTTGTGTTGTTTTTGCAAAGCTGCAGAACAGACAGACAGTCCAAAGCATATTTCTCTTCAGGGACAATAAAAGTATATCTTATGTTGAGAAACATGCCACCTACTGTAAAAAGGCCTTCTGAAATCTCTGTTTATAAAACTCTGTTTGTGATGAGTGAGTAGTGGGATAATAGACTGTATATAAGAAATGCACGTAGTCATCGTGACGTCACCCGTTGGTTTGTGGACTGTGGTTTTGAAGCCTCCAGTTTGGCCGATAGGCCATGTTGAGTTTTGGCAACCAGCGGCACCGGATGTGACCATATTTGGATGAGACGGTGGAGCTAACGGCCGTGTGCGGAGCTAGCTAGCTTGCTTAGCTAGGTGCATCTGTAATTCATGTTAACTGTCATTTAACAGGGCTGACAATTTTGTCTAGCGAACAACAGGCTTAAAACTAAATGTACTACCAGAGAAAGTGAAGAGCCAACTCTTAATAAGCTTTTCCAACGGTGCTGGTTAAATTTACACAGTGAGTCACTCTATCTTGATTGACAGGTCGCCATGGTAACGACTTGTCAATCCTAGATAATCCCGCCCTGGAGCATACTCTGCTTTATGGTCTATTTTCCCCTAAACATGACCAAAATTTACTAAATGAAAATCATGTTGTATTGAAGAAGACATGCAACTAGTGATTGAGACCATAAACTCATTGGGAAAGTGTTTGCTGAGGTAATTACTCAGCTGAGAAGTAGGGTCATTTTACCATTATTTATAATGGAGCTAGACTTCTTTTTGCTACCAGAAGAGTCGCCCCCTGCTGGCTGTTCAATAGAATGCAGATTTAAGGGACTTCCGTGTTGGATTCATGTCTCAGACCAGAAGCTTCCCACTTGAGTGGGATAAATGTCATTGTAAGTAGAACTGAATTTATATAGCACCTTTTGTTACAAAGAAATTCTCCTACCTCGATCCCTCAGAGATGTTGCACGGGGGACAGAAGGTCATACACATACACCGACATATAAATGCAACACACAAACGACCACTGAAAGCATTCAGCAACCAGACACCACCCAGAGCACACCATTGGAGTGTTTCTTTTTTTCAATGTTTTTTGAAACAGTTAATAGACTCAGCTGATCGAATGGGAGGGGGGGGGGGTTGTTCCAGATTCTTGTGCAAGGAGTGCTTTCGCTGTGTAGTGAAAACCAGTACCTAAATGAAAGTGTGATGAATCATGACAGAAACCAAACAAAAAGCACAGAGTTGACACTTGATGCTTAACTTACACAGCTGCCTTCTTCTAAACGGGGTCTTTCCCGTCAGTCCCGTTCAGCGCAGGTGGCACGTGAATAATTGGTGTAGCCGTCATTTCCTAGCCATACTATTTATATAGATGAACAGTGAGAATATACCCTCCTAGGACTCTGAAACAGAAGCAGTTAAATTAATCAGCCGTCATCAATTTTGCTATTTATACCTGTGCTTTTTCTGTCACATGGCTGTATTTTGTGAGTGAGAGAAAGCAGCAGCATGTTCAGTCAACTAGTCATCAGCCAGATGAAAATTTTAGCTGTGATTGTGCGTAGCAGTGTCCCTGGCAATCAGTTACTAATCTCCATTGTTACCTAGGTGGCTAGCCTTGGTTTTTGCTCTATTCTGTACAATATTAATTAGTGATGGTAGTGTTGGTTGAGCAGACTGAGGTATTGATACAGTGAAATGAACATAAGGTTTATGCTTAGTCGCCCAGTTTCACAAGAAGGGCACAGCTTTTTAAACTAAAACACAACAGTGCATGTATGCATCTGTCTTGGTGTGTGTATATAGAGTTTTACCTGAGCTGAATTCATCTGGTCCCAGGATGGCGCCCTGTTGATGTGTATAGTCAGGGGCGGTGTTTGAAATCATGTCTCGTTCATGCACTCAATACTTATTGTACTATTATAAAATAGACTTTCAGTAGTTGACTCTATAATGAGCAGATGTCAGACACTTTTGAATCATGATCACTGAGAAGTGTAGAGTCATACAACAGTAAAATACAAAAGAACAATTTAAATCATACAGTTAAATAAAGAAAATCTTCAAGGAAAATACTCTCTCTGTGCTTTGAGGTTGGTCTAGATGGGATGTCTCTTGGAGCTAAATCATACGACTCGTAGTTGATATGTTGTTCAATAGCCTAATTTTATGTAATATTCATACTGGTTGAAATAAACAGTTTGATGGTAGCCTATTTCCCATCTTTGCTGAGCAAGTGCTTTGTGGGAAAGGAATTAAAGGTCTGTCCTATACAGACAACTGTCCCAAATATACATACCATTATATTAGCAGGGTGAGTTCAGTGATTGAAGGAAATAAAAGCCCAGGCTATTAATTGAAGTTTTGCGTTAGTTTGAACTAAAGTATGAGCTTGCACAAGCACCTAAAGGAACTGACTCACTGATAGCCAGAAAGTCTGCAAGCACTTCCCTTGTTGTTGACTGAAAAGTTGATAAAATGAATATTCTGGATTGTTGCACTTGGCTTGTTAATTATGTACATAACTGGGTACCATGCAGTCATTTTCCTGTAAATTCAAAATAAACAATAGTTGCTATGAGCAATAAATGACCATTATACAATGAATGGAAAATTTACCCAACTGTTCAAGATGGGAATCAGTGTATTCTTTGTTTCTCCTATTTAAGTTGAATTTTGTTACAGACATTTGGGCAGCCCCCTGTGATCCTGTTTTGTGAGTAACATTTAAAGAATGCCAACACTCATTCACGACAGGGGAATTCCTGTGCTCTTTGTGTGCCGTTGCTATGCCACACTAACTTAGCTGCAGGCTTCCTATTACTCATGCAGTGTAGATTGCAACGAGTTCCTTTAACACTTATGATGGAAATATATTTAGGTAAACATAAAGACACAGAACATATCAAAAGTCCACGTTTATCGCAAAATATGCAATAATACACATTACAGCCAATTAAATGGTTGTAAAAGAGATTGCAAGAAAACCATATCAGGTAACTCTTTAATTCAAACTTCAAGAAAAAATGCGTGACTGTTGAAATTTATCTAAAAACAAAAACCTCTAGGCTTTCTTCTGCCCAGAGAAAGTGGTTTTATATTTTGACAAAAAATGTTTTCTTTATGCACTTGTTCAAAATTGTGCATGTTTTTGATCAAATTGAGGTAACAGATGCAGAGGTAAATATTTGACCTCTGCAGACATTACCTCAAGACTAGTGCTCAAAATGTTACCTCTGAGTCTGTAAAAAGAGCCTATGTATTTTAATCTTAGACTCTAGAAATGTATCTAAATTTGAAGTGCAAGACAAAGTAGTTTTGGCACATGGTGTTGCGTAATGTGACGGTCATGGCACATCAGACAGAAGAAATAGTCAAGGTATGGTAGCCAGGTGCCGATTCCGGGTTTGACAACTAAACTGTACATACAGAAAACAGGTTAAGGCCTGGGACAAGTGTGAAGTTTGAAATGAAGACATTGTGGAGAATGGATCTTATCTGTTTATTGTAGGGAATACGCTGATCGAGGTGGGAGAGTGTGAGAGAAGATTAGGAGCGGCAGAGAGGGAGTTCCTCCAGACGTCAACCATCAGCTTTCTTACCCCCCTCAGGAACTTTCTAGAAGGAGACTGGAGGACCATTTCAGTGAGTTTGAAACACCACATCCATACGACTACCAGTAGAAAGGCCATTTACTATAGTCATTCTACTGGTTCAATAGCATTTTTAGGGAATAAAAAAATTAAATAAAATTATCAGGGACAATGCATATTAATCAACATTGATATCAATCAACACACAAACAATCACAAAAATGTTTGTGTGTGTTGTCAATTATATCCTGTTATTATTATTATCCTAGAATGAATGAAAATCGGCAGGTCAGACAATTGCAAAAGAAAATTGCTAATCTATTATAATACATAACCTACTCTGTCAAAATATGAATTTCACAGTTTCCACCCCACTAGTTAAAAGGTGAACTTCACCACCAAAGGTCAGCATTGATGCTTTTCTCTTGTCCTCCGCTATCTTCTACACGTATTTGGAATAGCCTGCTTCAATTGCCAAGCCATGGATGTACTGTGCCAGCTTGAATGATTGCAGTTGCTCACAGCTCAGATCAGCTGATCCCTGACTGTATCATTGTGTGTGCTTCAGAAAGAACGGCGTCTTTTGGAGAATCTTCGGCTGGACCTGGATGCCTGTAAAACACGTCTGAAGAAGGCCAAGGTGGCTGAGTCTAAGGCTGCGGTGAGTCAGTCCCTTCCAGCCCACAGCCCCACTCCATAATCATTCTGATGTAATATAACTTTTGGTGGTGCCGGCACTGACCATGACTAACTGTCTATTTATTCATAACCTTTGCAGTGCGAGGGTGAAGTGAGTATTAAAAACATTTTTAAAGACTGAGTATGATGCGCACGTTGGGTTGTTTTTCCCGTCTCACTTGTTTTCAATTAATTTTCTGTCCCATTCAGTTATTGGTGGCAAGAAACTATTAGTCATTGGTAAATAAATAAAAAGCAAAGCAGTGGACTGAAAAACAACTTTGACCTGATGCTGGGTCTTTGCAGGGTTACATTGAGACTTGTGTGTGTGTATGGATGGATGGATGTATATATATATATATATATATATATATATATATATATATATATCTGTTTAAATGATATTAAGGCTTAAGGTTATGCCAAATTAGGGATGTGGCAACTCGGAGTGACATCTGGTTACCCTCTCAGGTGGTTCATTGCTACATTCTAGTTCTTTTGGACCTCAGCGATGCATTTGATCACAACTTGCTCATTGGCAGACTGGAAAGGTGGACAGGAATCACTGATGTGGCCTTAAACTGGTTCAGGTCCTACCTATCTACCAGATAGTTCTCTGTGATTATGGCCAGCTCAGGTTAATCTCCCCTTAACTTGCTCTTGTTGGTCCCATTCTATTCTCAGTCTATATGCTCCCTCTCTGTACAATCATCCTAGATATAATGTCCAGTTCCACTGTTACGTAGATGAGACAGCTCTAGATTCCAATCAGACCCAGTGACCAGTCTAACATTGCAACCTTTCACAAGTGCTTTGCTGAAATAAAGTACTGGATGTCCCACACCTTAATACAATTAAACCTTACAAAATCTGCCCGTTTCTTTTAGGATTGATTTCAAAATTATGGAATGCCAGGAAGGGTTAGCCCCTTCAAATATCTCTGAGCTATTATACCCCTATGAGCTAGGATCCAGACTGGGATCCTCTGGTTGGGCACTGCTAGCCACTCCAAGGTTTAGGCTAAAAACTAATGGAGAAGGAGCCTTTGCTGTCAGGGCCCCTACACTCTGGAACAGTCTAACAGAGGAGCTCAGCTCGCAGAGTCCGTTCCTGGTTTTATTTTACTTCTTAAGACGCATTTTTACAAAAAGCTTTTACTGAGTGATCCCTATTTTATTTTTCTATTTTATTTTTGGCCATATTGACTTTTTTATGTGTTATATACTGATTGTCGTAAATCAGTGTGATGCCAATTTCTATCCTTATCTTTTTATTTTATTTTATTTTTATTTTTTATCTCTTATTTTTCTCGAGTTGTTTCTGCTTTTCTTGAAGCACGTTTTCACTGTCAGAATTTATAGTGTGACTTTTATCAGAACTTTTGTTTTCAGTATGATGATGACAAAGTCAGACTTTTGCAACTTGTATGCATGTTAGCATGTGCATGAAAAACTACTGCTGAATAGCCTGAAGCTTGTAATATCGATGAGTGTCCTATTTAAAGCGGATTAGCCAGATCAGTAAATTAGATTAGTCACTAGTTTCAGTAGACAGTGTTTACATACCATTGTGTTGCATCACATCTCTGCACCTTTCTTTTATCAGTTCAGATTGCAAAAGTGTGCTGGCAATTATTAACTGCAAACCATCTCTCCAGCTGCTCTTTTTAAAGAATGGATTGAAAAACTTTTAACCAATTTTAAATTAAACAGGTAACATTAAACTCAAGTTTTTGAGACCTTTTGTCTGTAGGAACCCCCAAATTAGAGGTGCACCACGTGACTAACGCAAATTTGATTTTAATAAATGTCATACATTAATATTTTGTTGTGATATCTAGTACATTAATATATTTGAAAAACTGAATTATCAACTGCTGATTCTAATGCACAGATTGACAATTTCATAGTAACTTGTGCTGTCTTGTAGCTTTAAGCGTAACTCATCAAGATCATCATCATTTGTTTCTGCTGTGCTTTCTGATTGCTTTGTATGGTTGCCGTGTATACATCGATGTCACAATAGTATAAATGTTAAATAACCTTATTGTTTCTGCAGATGGCGCCAGATTTTCAGGAGACCAGACCCCGCAACTATGTACTTTCGGCAAGTGCCTCTGCGGTAAGGTGACAATTCTGTTTGACATGACCAAACTGGACTGTACAATCATCACTAAAAAATAATGTAACCTTGTCACGTTCCATGTTCAATCAGAAACAGAGGGTTTTTTAAACAGAAGTTTCTATACTGAGGCTAGTAGTGGATGGGAAAATCCCTTTTTATTATAGTTCATCAAAAGGCCATAATGACCTTATGTACTTGTGCTGGATCATACCAGTCACTTTTTAGTAGCGGGGAATCTGTATGTGATGATGAACAAGTTTGGTATTATGTAGTAATGATTAATGTTGGCATACCATTCATAGAAATGGTATGCACAGTCTGTTACTCATTAATTCTGCTTAGACTCAGTACTTTTCATTGCTTGAGGCGGGGTATAAGCATATCTTTCAGCACTGAAGCTTGATTGAACTTTTCAGGGCATACATGGATCCATGGCAGGTAAATAGTACATAGGTAAATTCCTCTATACATGAAAGTAGAGTGATAATAAGACTTTAGGAAAAAAAAGACAGACTTATAATAATAAAAAGTAGAAAATATAGGTGCTGGTCATAATTAGAATATCATCAAAAAGTTGATTTATTTCAGTAATTCCATTCAAAAAGTGAAACTTGGATATTATATACATTCATTACACACAGACTGATATATTTCAAATGTTTATTTCATTTAATTGTGATGATTAAAACTGACAACTAATGAAAACCCCAAATTCAGTATCTCCGAAAATTAGAATATTACTTAAGACCAATACAAAAAAAGGATTTTTAGAAATGTTGGCCAACTGAAAAGTATGAACATGAAAAGTATGAGCATGTACAGCACTCAATACTTAGTTGGGGCTTCTTTTGCCTGAATTACTGTAGCAATGCAGCCTGGCATGGAGTCCATCAGTCTGTAGCACTGCCCAGGTTGCTCTGATAGTGGCCTTCAGCTCTTCTGCATTGTTGGGTCTGGCGTATCGCATCTTCCTCTTCACATTACCCCATAGATTTTCTAAAGGGTTAAGGTCAGGCCAGTTTGCTGGCCAATTAAGAACAGGGATACCATGGTCCTTAAACCAGGTGCTGGTAGCTTTGGCACTGTGTGCAGGTGCCAAGTCCTGTTGGGAAATGAAATCTGCATCTCCATAAAGTTGGTCAGCAGCAGGAAGCATGAAGTGCTCTAAAACTTCCTGGTAGACGGCTGCGTTGACCTTGGACCTCAGAAAACACAGTGGACCAACACCCGTAGATGACATGGCACCCCAAACCATCACTGACTGTGGAAACTTTACACTGGACTTCAAGCAACATGGATTCTGGGCCTCTCCTCTCTTCCTCCAGACTCTGGGACCTTGATTTCCAAAGGAAATACAAAATTTACTTTCATCAGAGAACATAACTTTGGACCACTCAGCAGCAGTCCAGTCCTTTTTGTCTTTAGCCCAGGCGAGACGCTTCTGACTCTGTGTCTTGTTCAAGAGTGGCTTGACACAAGGAATGCAACAGCTGAAACCCATGTCTTGAATACGTCTGTGCGTGGTGGTTCTTGAAGCACTGACTCCAGCTGCAGTCCACTCTTTGTGAATCTCCCCCATATTTTTGAATGGGTTTTGTTTCACAATCCTCTCCAGGGTGCGGTTATCTCTATTGCTTGTACACTTTTTTTCTACCACATCTTTTCCTTCCCTTCGCCTCTCTATTGTCAGTGTGCTTGGACACAGAGCTCTGAACAGCCAGCCTCTTTAGCAATGACCTTTTGTCGTCTTTTGGACAGCTGTCAAGTCAGCAGTCTTCCCCATGATTGTGTAGCCTATAGAACTAGACTGAGAGACCATTTAAAGGCCTTTGCAGGTGTTTTGAGTTAATTAGCTGATTAGAGTGTGGCACCAGGTGTCTTCAATATTGAACCTTTTCACAATATTCTAATTTTCTGAGATTCTGATTTTGGGGTTTTCATTAGTTATCGGTTATAATCAAAATTAAAAGGAATGAACACTTGAAATATATCAGTCTGTGTGGAATGCATGTATACATTATACAACTTTCACTTTTTGAATGGAATTACTGAAATAAATGAACTTTTTGATGATATTCTAATTATATGACCAGCACCTTTAGATAAATAAAAATAATAATTTTCAAAATGTATCAATGAAACAAATTAATAAACAAAATTAAAAACATTAACAAATACAATTTACAGTTTAAAAAAAAAAAAAGAGGGTAAGAGAAAAGATTACACTTACAAGGAAATGTATAATTGTTAAACATATACCCCGAGTTAACATTTCCTAAAACCACTACAAGAGTCTTACACAGTCTGGTCACCCATCAGAGACAATGTTTGAATACATATTTACCAACCCATACAAGAGAAAACAAGGTAAATAATTTTATAGACATACCTAGCATGCCCAGCACATTTCAGAGTTCTCTATTATGGATTAATATGAATACTAGAAGTCAGTATTAAGGAATATTGGGCAACTGTAATTTATCTCCTACAATGAAGAAAGACCCCCATGTTTTCTTATATCTGGCTGATAAACCTCTCATTGAACACCTTCTTCTTTCTAGTTTAATGAAATGAAGAATAGCTCTAATCCATAAAGAATGAGAAGGTGGGGTAGGGGATTTCCACTTCAATAGAATCAGACACCTCGCTAGAAGCGTAGGAAAGGCCAGGAAGAGACTCTAAGAACCGGTGTTAGGCAGCTGGCAAAAAATGTTGTTACAACACTTACTGAAATAATGCTAAAGATTTCTGTCCAATTACTGCAGAGAGGGTAACATACCTTCTTTAAATCTTGTTTTGGGTTGACAGCAAAATAGTTGGCACAGTTACTGGAGAATTGGACATTAAAGAAAAGCAGTATGTCACTACCCTCTGGAAAATTTCAAGTCTGTTTCAGCTCTGACCACTAGCAATGTCACTGATGCATGTGTGCTTTGTTGCACCTAACATCCAACAATGTTGTCACATGGTCATTGAGTTCACCTGGACATTACCGCAGCAAGTTGAGAAGTTAAACCCCTTGATGTCAGGAGATTTGGCATAGCTAGGACATGAGTATAGTAACAGGATGTTCGGGGGTCATATCAATATTTATATAGCCCATTATCACAAATTACACATTTCTGAATGTTGAAACAGAAAGCCAAAACTAGTTTTGAGGTAGAAACTGACTGTTCTGATTATTTATTCTGTTCTGGTTATTATCTTTTCAAACCTTTTAAATAAGAAAAAAAGCTTTGTCATGAGTGACCTTTTAGCAATGAAAATTACACATTACGGTCTCAGCACTGACTATATTTTTTGGAAAAACGCAGCTGTGGCCTTCATTTTAGATGCACAGATAAAAAGGAATCCACCTTAGAAATATTTAACATTTCTCAGATGGTCAAAAATCAAATGACAAAAACCTTTTTAGCCAGCATAAATTCTTTCTCAAGCCCGAAAAACACATGAGCATAAGGAAGCAAAGTGAACACAGCTACAATGGCATTTGTGAATATCAGACGAGCCAGCCTACATTTACTCCAGCCTTAACCATCAACATACATTCCTCAAAAGCAAGTGTTTCAGGGAGTAAACTAAAAGTTTATTAATTTAGTGGTTTAATGGTTGTACATCATGCTTGTGAAGGCCTTCTGGTATATCCATGTTGTAACCTTCTCATTTCTTCTTTTGTTGTACGCTTTGGCCACTCAGCTCTGGAGTGAAGAAGTGGAAAAAGTAAGTACAGCTATGTTGTGGTTGTGAATTGTCCTGGCTGGTCTCCAGGATTAAGGCCCTCAGTATGATCTAAATAAATAAATGATCTAGCCCATACCATGTATTGTCAGACCACATCTAACAGGAAAAGTGTTTGTACCCGTTTCAATTAGCCACGCACAATTCCCGACACAATGGATTAAAATTGCTACAACACACACGAACTTGTGTCAGTCTCACGTAGGTGGGTTTGTCGGATATGTCTTTATTTATTAATTTCTTTAATGAATATAACGTCAATTTTTTTGTTATATTTTTTCAATACTTTTGGACTTTACAACGCTCTGGAGTAATTGGAAATTTTTGGACTTGGAAACAATCCTACGCAGCCACCACAGGAATCAAATTCCACAAATAGTATAATACTAATTATACCAGTGAACCCCAATCTGTATCTGCAACTGTGCAGAAATATCGAGTTTAAGGCAAAAACAAAAAAGAAAGCAGTTGATTTAAATTTTGAATGAAGCTTTGAGATTATTTGTTATAGCCCTACTGACGAGCACTTCTTTTCCTTCTTTTTTCTTTTCCACTCTATGGACCCATAACTCCACCAATGTCCTGCACATAGTACAGTGTAGAAACAATTCAGTAATACCAAACTGAATACCAAACAACTAAAATCTTCCCCTTAAGGATGCTCTTTGGTAAAAATCACATTACATGTGGGGTTCTGGGGCATGAATAGAACAGTTAAATCACCAGGCCTCTATTGTTAACATATTATTATCAGCCTCGTCATATTTATTACCAGTCTTTATTTTTAAGTATGTCTACAGATTAAAGCCTGGACTTTAGATGTGGCAAGCACTCTGAGGGATATGAAGGAATCATGTCACTAATATCTCTGTTGTTGTTTCAGGCTGAACATGAACTCCGAGTGGCCCAAACAGAGTTTGACCGGCAAGCCGAGGTTACTCGGCTACTTTTGGAGGGCATCAGTAGTACACATGTATGTCAGCCACACCCCCTTCACCACATCTCTCTCTCTCTCTCTCTCTCTCTGTCTCTCTCTGTCTCTGTCTCTCTCTCTCTCTGTCTCTCTGTCTCTCTCTGTCTCTGTCTCTCTCTCTCTGTCTCTCTCTCTCTGTCTCTGTCTCTCTCTCTCTGTCTCTCTGTCTCTCTCTCTGTGTCTCTCTCTCTCTTTTCCAAGCTGCTTTTAGACACTTTTATCTTTTCTTTTTGTCACATGTGGGTTATTAATAAGCTCTGAAGTCATATTCAGAAGTTTGCAGTGATTGCTCCATTTCACTGTGGTTTACATTGCAATTACGTTTTATGTTAAGCTGTCAAATTAAATACTCTTTACATGTTTTTGTACTTTAGTTGATTAGTTAATTGAGAATTTATCGTTATTTATTTTGCTGATATTATTCTGCTGATACCTCTTCAGAAAAAAAACAGATTTATATCTGGCTCTGGACATAACTTGTTTTAACTAGCTAGATAAAAGGTAATGCCCTGGCAGTGGCAAATAGCTTTGGTTTTATGTTTGATTTGATTACATTAATTAAGTTGATATTTACAAGAAATCTTTTATTGCTACTGTGTAAATGGAATACTGCTGGTAAAAAGCACCTTATTTGTTTAAAGTGTTTACAAACACGGCTGTGGCTCAGGAGGTAGAGCGGGTTGGCCGTTAATCGGAAGGTCGGCGGTTCAATCCCTGGTTGCGTGTCGAAGTGTCCTTGGGCAAGATACTGAACCCCGATTTGCCCTGGCGGCTATTCCGCCTTTTGTATGAGTGAGTGTGAATATTAGTTTCCGTTTGAGCACTTAGGCTCAGTGTATGAATGTGTGTGACTGGTGAATGCAGATGTAGTGTAAAAGCGCTTTGAGTGGTCGAAAAGACTAGAAAGGCGCTATACAAGTACGGAGCATTTAATTTAAATGTACTGCTATATACACAAAGGTGCAATAACATCTGGTTTGTAAATGTAAAAGTCTGCAATACACTAGTTTAGAATTCATTATTCAATTTTGGCATTAACAATGCGATTAATCAAAGAAAATCATGCGATTAATCACTTCTTTTGAAGATATGCTTAAAAATGTGTGTTGTGTTGTTGCTTGTCTGCAGGTGAACCACTTACGCTGCCTGCATGAGTTTGTGGAGGCCCAAGCAGCTTACTATAAGCAGTGTCATCTCCACATGCAAGAACTACAGAAAGAGCTGGGAAGGTGAGAACCAGATGGGAGATAGCGCAATAACAGCAATTTGAAATGACAGAAATATTTAATGTAGTTTTAGGAATCAAATCATTCATTTAATTTAATTTATGACACAAATGACTAATTTATTCTCTTTGAAATTTGCCTATTTCAGTTATATTAAATAAAATTTGTCAAGGAAAAAAATGCATTTTGTAATGTATCAGCTTTTAATGATGAGTCAATTCTTGATCATCAACATGCCTGATGATTGACAGATGAAAGTAGAAATTGCCCTTCTAGTTTAAGTTCACATCAGTTTTTTTTTTTTGCACATTTGGTCCAGCAGAAGCAGAAGTTGTCTCCTACAGGTGACCCTGGGTACTGCAATGGATATTCTTACAACTCATGAGAGGCAATGTTGCTACCGATACCTGCTGGTGTAGCTAATAAACTGCTCTCACATATACAGATCTCTGTGGTACAGAGTGGACAAAATTCCACAAATGCGTAAAAATCGAAGTCAAAAATGTAATGTGACCTGCAAATTGACAGGAAATGAGCAAAAATGTGCAAAAACTGTTTTGTGTATTAAAATACATCCACAAATGCATAAATAACACTTGTATGTGGAATTAAAATATGTGAGTACAGAGTAAATTGTACATATTTACAAATTGCACTGTATTTTTGTGGATATGTATAATGTAAAAATAGATGTTTTGGATAGTGAGATATTTGTGTATATTTTTTTACAGATGTCCGCAGTACACATTGAACAAATGTAAAAATACATATTTGTAGATAGTGAAATATTTGTGCATCATAGTACACATTTGTGGATTGTTTTCTGTGGGTTACAAATATTAAAGTCCAATAAAATCTTCCATAACGTACAGCCCACGGCGACCCATCCTTAAACCATTACAGAGCTCATTACGGTTGTGGAAGAAGCACTCGATTAGTAATTTAACATGCCCTGAGGCGTACAGTATGAACATTGCGGTTGCTGCGGTGATTGCCATCCTCCGCGGTAGGCTTGACCAATAGCGCAGTATTTCAATTTTGCGGTTATCGCAACAGCCCTATTGTGAGGAGGCATAAATATAAATAATGTTACATTATGTTTAATGTGCCAGACATTACTTGTAATTGATATATTTATTGTTATGAATACTATATTAAAGGAAATAACTTTAATATAGGATATTTCTCCGTACCAGTCAGGTCCTCTGGAGGCCTGTCTGTTTTTGTTGTTTTTGGTTTTGTCAAATCATAACAATTCATTTTCCCTGTCTCATGCCCTCAGTTCCGATGAGGACGTGTGAGTATGGCTCATCTTCTTGTGTGCTGATGTGATTTATCTTTCTCTTAGTGCATATGTTCTAACCCATGTTCTAACATTAGCTGGCTTTCCAATTCTGTCCTGTAAAAAAAACAACACGTTTGGTCCTGTGTGTTCACTTCTGCTGCTCTGCACCACCCAGACAACAATGTCATTTCCTGAGGAAGTGTCGTTCCATTTGTTGAGCTGCTGTTTTCTTACTTTACTGTGTTTTGGCATGGCTGTCTAAGACCAAATGCATTTCTGGACAGAAGAGCTTTGTCCGTGGAACCATTTTTGTTAAATAAAGCAATTTCATTAACTTACATATGTTCCAGTGTAGATGTAGTGGTATTTATTTTGTTATTTATGTAAGTTTTATTTTAGTGCAATGCAGGTGTGAAAAAAATGCTGTAAAATAAGAATGTTTTCACAAATAGACATGTTAATAGATTATATTAATCAATTAAAATTTGAAGTGAATGAAATCTAAAACAAATCAATATGCGGAGGGACCTCCCTTTGCCTTCAAAACAGCGTCAGTTCTTCTAGGTACACTTGCACATAGTTTCTGAAGCAACTCAGCAGGTAGGTTGGCCCAAACGTCTTGGAGAACCTCTGTCCGTCCTTCTGTGGATTTAGGCAGCCTCACTTGCTCTCTCTTCATGTAATCCCAGACAGACTGGATGATAGTGAGATCAGTGCTCTGTGGGGGACATACCATCACTTCCAGGACTCATTGTTTTTCTTAAAGCTTCAAGATAGTTCTTAATGCTATGTGTTTGTTGTCATGCTGCAGAATACATTTGGGGCCAATCAGATACCTTCCTGATGGTAGTTGATTAGGAGTAAGTATCAGCCTGTACTTCTCAGCATTGGGAAGACATTAATATTTCCCTAACCTTGCAAGGAACCTCCACCATGCTTCACTGTTGCCTACAGAGACTCATGTACCACTCTCCAGTCCTTCAGCCAACAACCTGCCCTCTGCTTCAGGCAAATATTTAAAATTTTGACTCATCTGTCCAGAGCACCTGCTGCCATTTTTCTGCACTCCAGTTCCTGCATTTCCGTGCGTAGTTGATTCGCTTGGCCTTGTTTCCGTGCCGGAGTTATGGCTTTTTGGGCCCAAGTCTTCCATGAAGGGCACTTCTGATCAGACTTCTCCGGACAGTACATGGGTGTAACAGGGTCTGTAGCAAAGGGCAAGAGCAGTCACACTACCTGGATTCGAACACGGTTCTACAGGGTACTTAACATGCAACTCTGACCACAACGCCAACAAGCCAGGCTAGTTGGTATGGCTGTCCGAGCACATTCTCAACCATAGTGACAGTACTCCGTCACAGGGTCCCACTGCCAGTTATAAGCTGATGGCACTGCAAGGATACTGTCAGTTTCTTTGGCTGGCCTCTGCCTCTATGGTCCTCCGCATTGCCCATTCTTTGTCCTTAGCACATCTGGAAACTCCTACCTGCCTTGAAATGTCTGGGAGAGACCTTGCTGATGCAGTATAACTACCTTGTTGCTGTGCTCAGTTTTGCCATGGTGTTTGACTTTTGACAGTAGCTGTCTTCAGGAGCCTCACCTTGTTAGCTGAGTTGGGCTGTTCCTCAGTTTCCAGTTTTATTCCTCCTACACAGAGGTGTCTGTTTCGGTTAATGGTTGTGTTTCAACCTACATAATTTATGATCGTTAGCACCTTTTTTGTATTATTGTTTACACCTGTTGATATCCCTACAAAATCCCTGACTTTGTGCAAATGTTCCTAGAAGAATTGATTGCTGTTTTAATGAGTGGTCACTCTAAATACTGATTTGATTTTAAAGATTTTTCTTTTCTATTCACTCACTTTGCATTTTGTTAAAATCCATTAAAATAACATAAATTTTTGAAAGAATTCTTACTTTACAGCATTTTTTCCACACCTAAAACTTTTGCTCAGTACTGCATGTTCTGACCATCACATCTGCCTGCTTTCCCTCAGTATTCCCAATGCCTTTGCACTGAACTCCACTCACTCCATGGCTACTGCTGGCCCTGCATCAGAAGACCTCAGCAGCCCTGTGGAGACAGACACTCTGAAGATTGAGGAAGTTCAGGCACCAGCTACAGGAACCCGCAAGGCCAAAGTCCTTTATGATTACGATGCTGCTGACTCCAGTGAGCTCTCCCTTTTAGCTGATGAGGTAAAACTGTAAAACTTTGTTGGAATTAAGGGACACAGGACTCCCTTAAATTAATTAATGAATATAAAAAATAAAAATAAAGAAATAGTTCAACAGGGACCAGTAGAGTGGTTTGAATTTGACAAAATGCTATTGAGCCCCATCCTTACACATACAACAACTTTTCCTATATGTATGGAGGTTTAGTTACAGTGCATGTACACTGTACACACAGGGATATGGATGCATAGGGATATGTAAAGGCTTTCATTTTCAAATGGGATTATAACAAGAATAACATTAGAGGAAATAATAGACATCCATAACATAATCAGTCTTCATAAGAAGTTGTGCTGACACGTTATTACTTCTGTCATAAATGTCAACCTTTGTTCAACAAAACCACACTAGCACATAGATAGAAAGAGTTCTTTGTTAATCCTAAAGGGATATTGCATTGTTAAGGGCACATAAAGGGGCCTTATCATCATTTCCAGCTTTGTTTGTTTTTATTCTCGGACTCCGCTAGAGTAGCTTTCATGATTTACAGTTAAAAAAAAATCTATATTTATCTTATACTGGCCCTATATGCAGCCCCTCTGTTTATCTTCTGTTTGAAACAAGCCATTTTGGCTCCTGTCTCTTTAAGGAACCCCTTTCTAAAAGCCCACTTTCCTCTGATTGGGCAACTTCCCAGGGGCTTGTAAGCAGTTTATTTTTTCCCCACCAGATTTTTGACAACTCTGCCCCCTACTCTGCCTCTGATTGGATAACTCCAGCCTAACCTTCATCAACCTAACCAATGGAGGCAATGAGTACTAGCCAACCAGAGGTGGTTTTTGAAAATCTGATGGGGGAAAAGATAATGCTTGTAAGCGACTGTAACCCAAGTTCTTTTTATACACACAGTGCTGTGAGCCTCTTGCCAGTGAGCTTGACGGCTATGACAGCTACAGTAACTTAGCTTGGAAAACACTGCATTTGATGAAAATGAGATGATGAAAAATGAGACAGGAATTAGGTTTAGAAAACAGTGACGCCCCCAGAGCAGAGTATTTCTGGGGGCCAGTGTAGGTGTAGATACAAAAACTCTTGGCAGAGTCAGCTAGCTAATGGGACATCTAGCTCCACAGCTAACTGATCTAGAAGGCAGCAACCGTTAGCTGTAGTTAGCAACAAATAAGCCATCTGTCCAAAAAAGCCCTTTCTGCAATACATACTGTCTATCTCCACACTCCGTTTTCGTTCTGACCTCGGCTCAGCACGAAAGTAGAAAAAACATTATAGACCTAGTTTTCTAAACATTCTAAAGCCTGAGCTTTTTAACTGCAGTGACAAATAAATGGCAATTCCTGAGACTGTTTCACAGTAAAGCTACTCTGTGCAGCAGCAGTAAGAAATGTGTTCATAAAAACGTCATTAGAATCCAGCGTGGGAATGGCAGAGTCCGTCACTAATAATGGAAACTACTATATAGAGAGGTAACTACAGAATGTAAATTAAATGGCCATTGCTGAAAAGATTCGGACCATAAATGGAATCAAAAACAGTTTGATTTCATGAAAACGGTGTATAATTTCAAATACTCTGCCCCTGGTCTTTCTACAAGCACATGCCACAGTATCACCACACGAAATGAGTGGCCATAGTCTTGTTATGTAAAATTCTTTACCTGGTTGTTTTTTAAATATATTATATTTTGTTTGAAAGCCACTTTTACTCCTGTTAAGCTTCCATGTCCATGTCCTCTGTGTTACAGCTCATTACAGTTCACACAGTGCCTGGAATGGACTCTGACTGGCTGATTGGAGAGAGAGGGAACCAGAAAGGAAAAGTGCCTGTCACATACTTGGAGCTTCTCAGCTAAAGAACACGCATGCATCGACACAAGACACTCACACACATGCACCTGTGTGTATGTGTGTGAGTGGGTACTACTAAAGCCATGAGGATGTTTCATTCACAATTAATTTCACACTCTTACACAAACTTTACCTTCAATAGCACTCCTCCACACTAAGCATTAGCAAAAGTGTTCAGTTGAACACACACACTCATCCATGTGCTTCTCAGAACAAACTGGAGTATATTCACATGATTAACATCCGTGATAATGGAGACATTGTTACAGTGAGTACAGAAAAACCCCTACGGGGGTTAGTTAACATTCCTTTTAGATTTTTTGGGTGACTTATTATGACTATATTATTTTCCTATTTATTGTTGTGCATCCCAAAGGTAGACCAGATTAGACCTTTGCATCGTTGGAAACTGTGACACACTGTCTTTAGAGGGATTTCCATCCAAATGATGATGTGTCTTTATTGTCTCTTAAAGCCACCTTTGTTCATAAATTCATTGATGAATTCTGGTAATGTTGCCTCTAAAATATGAATCCACCGCAATGTCCAATGTCTTGTCATTTAGTTAAGTCAGTTAAGTACAGTTCATCCCTGTATGACAGACATTGAAGAAGAAGTGAAAACTGATGTGGTTGCAACAGACCACATCATGACGGACATGTCATTATGTTGTGTTGGCGTGTCAGATTTACTGATTGCTAGCCATGGACAAGGAAAAACCATTAATGCCACTTAATGGTTTCTTTTAAACTGCTTCTTAATTTAAGTGAAAAAATGTGTTCTGTTCTTCCAATACAACATGAACAGAATTAGCATTTCTTTGTGTGTTGTATATATTTTATATCCACAATAGAAGCATTTAATATGATAAACATTAGCTTACACTAAAGAACAATGTCTGTGAAACAGCACATTTTTAATGGATGTTTTATCATCCTTAACTCTTTAGAAGTAAATTTGCCTTAACTGCTAATTGAAATTAATGTAATTTGTGTTATTTTAAGGAGCGATATATGTAAGTATTAAAGTTTAAAACATTCAAAAATTACGTTAGCACGCTAACCAGATAGCCTCAGCCCACTCTTGTCTTGTAAAACCACTTTGTTCCACAAGATGCAATGACAAGATCCAAAAACTAATGGATGCGATGGCTGACCAGACTCTATTGAGATAAACAGACCTCACAGATCATCTTAAAACACTCAATTCATTCAAATTGGACAGAAACAAAATACAAGTCCTCCAAACCATCTTTTTTTGATTTCCCACTGTTCCAATAGTCACCAACAGTGTTTTGGTCAAAATAAATCCTTTATTCGCCACATTAGATGAGGAAAGAACCAGCCGTTATATTGCTCTCCACAAAGCCAGCAGTTTCACACTGATGTGCTCTCAGACTACCTACCTAAACAAAGAACAGGGAAACTCGGATGACAACACATACAGAGGGGATGTGATGTCAGTCTTTGCTCAGGATGCAGTTACTCCACTTTATCATTACATAGTAATGTTTTCAATCCCATATACAGAACCTTTTAGTGACAACATTTTGTGGACATTTGGATGGAATATAACTAGCAACAGTTTTGCTTGATTGAGTCATGTCATTCACTTGTTTAGATTAGACTTTCCAATATGGGCTTTTTGTTTTGTTTGTTTTTGTCTCATGCCTTTCCACAGCACTGAAGATGTCCCTCTGAACAATATGAACACCTGAGCAGCAAATAAACATGAACACTCCCATCCTAACTGCCTTAAGATGCTGGGAAGGAACTGCTAAGGCCCTCTGCTGCAAACCAGAGAATGTGCTTTTCACAACAAAATAAAGACTTAATGTACACCACGGACGGCATGCAAGACTGTAACTCTTTCTAATCACATGTGTGTGTTTGTGTGAATTTGGTTTGCCCTAGAGGGTTTATTTGAATTTACGGCGTTCCTGTTGATGCTTTTTTCTCTGTTAATATTTTGAAGTGTCTTCAGTCTTAGTGCTGCATGTGCTACAGCTGGTAGCCTGTCCTGCTGAACATGTGAGTGTGTAAACAAGTATATGATGTAGCTATCTATGTTTGTGTGAGATCTGGAGCACCAAAATGTTTGCACAACAACAAATGTACTTTCTCATCCAGTATGTGTACATGCATGCACTTTTTCCCAGCCTGGTCTCACAAGATTTTGTGCAATGAGCACAATGTTTGAAAACGCAAAAATCTGCTGACAGAGAAGTGAACTTGACCCAAGTCTCTAGTAAATTGTTTTCTTACCTGCAGTCAATGAGACCGACAGGTGAGAATGGGTTCTAACAATTATTGTTGGCAGATGAATGTAACCTAATTGTGCTAATTTCACAACTCTTGGGGGTATTTTTAGTTTCTTTTACTTATGCTGTTGTGATTTGTTGTACCTCATCTTATTATTGTTATTATTATTTTGTCAATATATATATTGCCCGTTCCTTAACCATGCTGAATGAATGCAATGTATGGGATTTAATAAAGTCTGATTTATTTGAATTCATTGACTTTTTCACAGCTACTGTCATTGGAAACATCTAAACATTTAAAAACCACTGTGGTCGAAAGTTGAAGCCAGTGCAGACATGTCTTTAGTTGCAGTTCCTATAAATATTTTTCCACAAGAGTATCATGTCTCAATTGCTCAACAATGTGGTGGTCATTTTAGAGTTATTGGCTTTGTTCAGATTCACATACTAACTAAGTTAGTAAATTAGTATGAACAGTCTACAGTCTGCTAATAGCATACTTAATGGTTTATTTAGTAGGCAGTACATTCTGATTGAGTAGTAGGCAGTATGTTAGTATTGCCATTATGGAGCCATTGACCCTTAAATGGCATGGCAAGCGTTTCTGCCTATCACGGTCAGCCATGGTTGGTCCTTGCATATTCCATCTAAGCTCCAGCCAGGCATTCTCCACTTTTTGCCGATATTTGGATTCTTTCTGGCACTGAAATTACAGCAAGTGGTAAAATCAACACAGGTGCTACTTGCATGTTTTTTGACTATAATTTATTCACTTCAGGGTTGCAGTAGCAGAGGGGCCATTAGAACCGCACCGTCCTTCCAGTTGCAATATCCACT